TCTAAAATTAATTTTTTAAGTAAATAATACTAAATACTTATAAAAACAAACCTATATTATATTAAAAAAAATCGACACTGAAATAAAATTATGTAAAAGTTTATGTATGCTCTAACATGATGAATTTATAAAAGAAATTAAAAAAATCTTTTAATAACCTTACAATTACTTGACATATTACAGAAAAATATATTCCCAATATGTGCCTTTACAATGGTTCAATACCAAAAGTTCAAAATTTGCTCTTAAATTTGCTTTACTTGTCTACGAAATTTTGAAATTCTGAAAGCTGTCGTTCCATTTAATGCAACAATTAATTTAAGCAATTAATGTTTAAAAAATTGACCAGTTATTTAATTTCTCTAATTCCTGCATATTATATTATTTCTGTATTTATACAAACCGAAAATTGTGAATTGTTTCCTAGGCCTATTGTTTTCTCCAAACAATCTTCACTTTTGCAGAGGGAACATTGTTAATGTTGAAAGAAAAGCATCATCTTTCTTCTTATTGTTGAGAATTATTCAGCCTTTGTCAAACTTTGCCCTTTTTAATGCCCCTAGCAGTCTGAATTGGATGTAAAAGGGAGAAATCTGATTCCAAGTTACTTTTCCCACACAATCTCGTAAGCCAATTTCAACAAGATCAGTCGACGTCGGATATTTCACTGCCAAACTTTTCCTTTTTCCGACGAATTCCAGGACGCGAGCGAGCAGCAATATTACTTCTCCGCTCCTTTCTCACGTTCGCCCTTTTTGTTTTGCTCGCAGCAAGAAAGAAAGAAAGAAAGGAAGAATGCCCATATACCGGGCAATAACAGTATAATGTGTCAGGGGGGTGCACGCGAGTGTGCATGAGAATGAAGATAAATGACGCGCGGCGCCGGAATATTGCAAGAGAAAAAGCACATAATAGAAAGAATTTCGACGCAGGTGCGAATTATCCGAGTGACAAGAGGCCATAAATCTGGACAGTGAAAATCTGCATGCAATGGGCCGTGTCGTGTGTGTCGCCACAGGACGGTCCAGCAGAGACAGACTGCTCAATTTGTCAGCGGCTGATGAAAAGAGGCCTGCGCTTGCTATCTTGATTTCTCAAGGGCCATCGCTCCCTTTCCTCCTTTCGTCGCCAGCCCCGGTGCGGCAGGTGAGAAAAATGAACATGATCAAAACAGCTTTCCCGCCTGGCAGGTGAGAGCCGAATATGGTTCCTTCGCCTAGATAGAAAGCAAACTTGATCCCAGATATTTTAGCCCAACTATACATAATCCTGAATTGAGAAATCGCTCCAAGATCGTGCCACTTAAATTTTATTACAAAAACATTAGATTAATAAATTTGAACCAAATTACAGTTTCCTTTTAATAATAGTTCTAATTAATCAATTAAATTATTTAATGATGAAATCAAATGAACACGACAGCAACTACAAGAATCTCTCTAGAAACTTAAATGATTTAAATTGAATTTCTCGATTCGATTTTATGTCTTTGGCAATGAGACCAATCAATAAGTAATAAAATTTATGGACTTGAGGAAAATCAATTTTCTTTCTTGCCAAACGTTTTGTTGTAAAACTTACAGACAAGTTGCTTTTTAAGTATAAGAGTCTGAAATAATCTTTTTATGGCAAAATCTATAGAATTATAAAAAGATAGCATTTGAAAAAATTTGTAATTTGAATTTATTTATGCTGTGTTTGTGCAAATAATAACTTGTAATGCATGAATTTATTGAAAATAAACTATTTAAGCATTAAGCATTTCAAGTATTTAAATCTAAGAAATAAATCTGAAAAGGGAGCCTTGAAATAAAGCAAGTCGTTATTGTTTTAATTATATTCAAGAGTAAATAGAGTTCCAAAATTGTCCAAAAATAAAGTAAAACGTACTTTTTTTTAAACAAAGAATTCAATTTCAGTCTTGCATATTTTGAACCAGAATGTTGCTATTCTTAAAGATCCGATTTCAGTTCAAATTCTAAAATGTAATAAGTCTTTTTTTCCAAAGTAACTTTTTATGCTAATGAGCGGATGTACCAAAATTAGTGAATTCTCGTATTCAAAGCTAAAATCACACTGACAGGTCCAACATCAAAGCTTCATTAGGTCGGTACAAAACTCACGTTCGGCCCTTGCACTGCAGTAGTTGGCGAACAAAACTAGAAATTGCGTTTGAGGCCGGCAGCCGTACGGAGAGAGCGAGGGACGAAAGCATGATCAGAGAGGAGAACCCTTTGATGATATTAGTTGTAGTTTGATTCGGTCTAATTATAGCGGGACGAGCACCTGGCAGTGCGGTTCGCAGAATCAAACGCCGCTGCAGTCGGCTAATTAAATTGCGGAGCGGAATTTCCTCGCAGCAACACAGCTAGTGCCCCACTTCGGGCCCGACCGAGATCAAAGACGTGCGTTGTTAGTATGGAAGAGGAATTCGCTGTGATGCGTCGTCGGCCGCAGGCAGGTTATGCAACCGGGTAGGTCGAGGCTGCATAACTGGCAGGGGCTGCTGTGAGATTCAATTTATTGGCACGACGCGCGGATATTGAAGTGTAGGTCAACGCGCTGAAAAAGCTGCCCCGGTGCGTAGACCTTGCTCTCTCCTTGGCAATTTATCTTGCTCCGGTTCAAATTCCCTCTCTGGCGTGAAAGGGTTTGGACCCTTTTGCTCCCGGGCTTGAAAGAGGCGGTTGAGAAATTAAATATTAAATCGCTACTTGGAATCCGCAATTTCATTGATGGGTATGAAACTTTGAATACTTTGTGGAATAAACTTTTGCAATTCAATATATTTCATTCGAAGATCGATTGATAAAAAATTGTATTGCATAAATATTTTGATATCAATTCGATTCTTGTTAATGAAATTTGTGAAATATTAATAGTTTAGTAATTCCTATACAAGCAATGCAACTAAGTTTTCATGGCAGCATTATAATTTTGTAATAATCTGTTATAACAGTCTAATATTACGTTATTTTTTAAATAGAAGAACTGTCACCTTAATTAATACAAGTTCTAAATAAAAAAACATTAAAAAAGGAATGGGGTATCAATTAGAATTCCTCCATTTGTTCATATCATGATCATGACCATGAAGACATATAAAAAATACTTTTAATAACAATATAATTGAATTTTTTAAATAACTTCAAACGTATGATCTAAATTTTGTAAACATCTGTAAAAATTTAAGTTATTTAAAGAATAAACAAATCAACAAATAATGAATAATAAATAATTATTGATTATCTGCGCGGTAAAATAATAATTCAATACCTTTTATAATTAATTTATTATAATATTTTTATTTTAATTTATAATAATTTAAAAAAAATTAAAGTAATGTCAATTTTTGTATAGTTATATTTACAACAAAACACGTCAGTTAAATTAAAGAAATTGCAGGTAATTTTCAAAACCCTCGTCACCCGCGATTGGTGTTCAGACCATTTGACAAGACATTCATTCCAAACAAATTGCACTTGATTGCAGCTCTACGAGGGTATATGTGCATGTAAATATACACATTCGAGCTTTTGTGTCGCTCGTAGGCTCACATACTCAAATGGAAGCAGTAAAGAAGAAAACACGGACGTTGTGCTGTGCGATGGCCACTGTCGCGACACAATGACTGCAATCGCGAACAGCACAACAGTATGAGGAGCGGCACAAAAGCAGTGATATTCCGCAAGACGGACGGACGGATGAGTAACAAAACAGGACATTTCTCTCTTGCGCAACACGCTGTTAAGTTGACTAGGGTTGCCGTCCATTTTTTCCGCGCCAACCGTCAAAGTGAACCGAGCGCCTATTTTCCAGCCGGCTTCACCAGAATGGACAGGTATTTTGCAATTTTACGGGTCAGCTGAGACTTTTCGGTTACGACGACACACGTCGCCACTTTATTTTCCGTTTTAACAGCCCTCGGAGGAAAATTGCGCAAACGCTATTATATGCAACGTGTCGTTCAAAATGGTATTCAATTTTGCATTTTGTTTGCATTAGAACTTTAGCTGAGAAGTTTTATTTCATTTTTATGACAAACATCCTTATTAATAAGAAGGAAAATTTACTTTTTTCGTTAAATAAATTTGTTTAAATAAATATTGTATAAAAATTAATACTGAAACGAGAGATATATTTTATTTTAAATAATAAACAAATAATTTTAATCAATATACCATTTCATTTTCCTCTGTATAGGGGAAATTTTCACACGCGGTAATGCAACTAATCAACTCAAATTAATATACCATTTAATAAGATAAAACGTTTTTACACTACTTTGTCCGCTGTTAACTTGATTATTAAATTTTTCAAGCTACTTATTCTCTACATCCATTAAATTATTGCAAATTACAAAATTTTGATAATTTTGTGGAATCCCATAGATCACGTGATAAAATACATATTAACGTATAAATACATTAATTAAGTTTACATCTGATACATTTATCTGTATTTAACTTTATTTTTATAATTTATAACTACCTAGTTCACTTTTAATTTCATATAAAAGCATCAGGTACTTATTAATTAATAAAATTCACAAATCCATATTTTCGTAAGCCATTGAGCCACACGAATTCTGATTTGCTGAATTCGGTGATTCCATTCCGCAATGTGTATATTTCCCATCCATACCTAACCATCCAATTTGCATTCAAATACATATAAGTGAACTGGGATGAGCCACGAATGGTGCGTGTACAAAAAATCCAATAACCACTTCACAAGCGACGAGCAGCAAAAGTAAACAAGCGTCCGCGGGAATTCGGTGCGCGCAATAAAAAAGCAGTCGAAAAGCAAACGGGCCGAAAAAATACATAAAGAAAGAAAGCGGCGCGGCGCGCGAAGGGCCAGGAGAGGAGCAGCAGCAGCAGCAAAAGGGATGTTTGCGGGTGGAGGCGGCCGGGGGTTGCGGAGGGGGCGGGCGGCCGGGGGCGGCTGCGCACTCTCGGCTGGCCCGGCTGCTGGGCTGCAGCTCTGGAAAGAGACATCTGACTGTCGGGGCGCGCCAGCCATGCAGCTCGGGCTTGGGGGGCTGACAGTGTGGGCCCTGTGGGGGCTGCTGGCCCCCTGTCTGCACGCCAACCCGGACGCCAAGCGACTCTACGACGACCTGCTGTCCAACTACAACCGGCTCATCCGCCCGGTCAGCAACAACACGGACACGGTGCTCGTCAAACTCGGCCTCCGGCTCAGCCAGCTCATCGACCTGGTGAGTGAGTCCCCCCGCCCCCGACGACCCCGCCTCCGCCACCAGTCGTCTCGGCCCTTCCGTACGTCCGACTGACCATTAGCATTCGGGACAGTCGTCGCGAATTCGGGCCACTCTGAATTAAAGGATGATGCGTTGTTTGTGCCCATTGATTTTCCAGTTTGTTTGTGCTTCGGTGCGCACACTCTTGTTTATTTTTATTTGGTGCACACTTGCTCAAGTTCTTTTCCTTCCTTTTCTTGCCATGGTGCGAATTGTTTTAGTATGTTATTTTAGTACACATTTTAAAACATATAAAAAGATCAAACTAAAAAATTAAATAATTTTAATATCATAAACAATTTAAAAAAATTAATACAAATTTGTTGCATAGAATTTTATTTATATTTACATAAATTATTTTAAATTATTTAGACAATTTAAATTTAAATTTTTTGTTTAAATAAATTATTATTTGGAATTTGAGAAACTTTTATCTAATTTATTATAAAAAATTTGTTATTTTTTAAATATTGAACCACATAATGTGTTATTTATATTTTGGGTTTGGAATGGCAACCATTTGGTAGCACCTTTAAAGGATATCTGTGGTTTTTAGGAATGTTTCTGTTTTTATATTTCAAGAATTGAACAATACTACCTAAATAAAGTAACAAATGAAAATTCTAGTGCTAATACTTACTGTATTTATCTTTAAAATAATTAAATGCACAAAATGATTACATTTTTTATTCACACCGCAGAATATTCTATAATGTGATTTTTATAATAATACAGTTATACTCTACACTCTAATCCATTGTCCTGAAGAAAAATGCAGAACGTACTGATTGTGAGAACCAGGAATAAATAAAAGTAAATAAAAGTTGATTGATTTTGTGGCGCTCGCTACAAATTTGCAAGGATAAATTGTTTATGACGTTGATATATATAGAACTTCAATTAAAACCACGAGAACAGTCAAAATAAAATGAAAGATTTGGCAAACCAAATGAAGAAACAAATTTCTTTCAAAATGTTTATTAAATTTTAATAAATCAATCTCATTTTTCTCCCACATTTTTTAAAGAATTTTTATTCTTTCACGGAATTTATGGTCATAACAGATAATTGATTTAAAATATTAATTGAATTAATAATTTAAATTTTATAATCATTATTAACGTTCTCAAATAATATTGAATTGAAACATTTTATTAAAAACACCGCTGCAATATTTCCTCGGCTGAGAATCAATTTGCGAGCATTATGCAAATCTGCGTCAAATTTGAATGGCAAATCCGCAGGAAAACATGTGATTAATTCGCCCCACTCAATGCATTATTCAAAGTAAAACGGCCGCTTTTTTGCTCCTCGCATGGCAGACTGACTAATACTGACTGGGTATGAAAAGCAGCCTTTCAACCCTTGCGCTGCCGCCGGAGAGAGATTCGCGCCGACGTTTTCGCAGACACAAATTCCTCTGCAGCGCGCTTTGATTAATTATTCACGTTCGACTCGCTGTATGTATGTGTGTGTGTACTTATTCCCTGCTGTAAGGCGCGCACACACGGACGTGGGCCAGGTGTACCCCGCACAGTAGTACTACCACGGCCACGTGCGGCGCCGGCATTGTGCGGCTCTCGCTGCCGGCGAGCTAATGTGTGCGTACATATTTGTGTCGCACGACTCATTATTCATTATCTGCGAGTGTGCGTGGGTGCCGCGCTTCGGCTGCTGCAGCGTAATGATTTTTTAACGAGAGCCCTGAATCGCTACAATTTTCATTCAAAAGAGACTTCCTTTCATTTCGTATCTCTTGAAAGAATCTGTACAAGAAAGGAAAATGTGAAAATTTTTTATATTAATTTAAAAGAAGAATAATAATAATTAATTTAAAAGTTATGTAGTTATTAATTTATGTGACATAAATTGAAATATTTTTTAAAACATTCTATATAATCACTAAAAATACATCACTCCATTCAGATTTACACATTTTTAGTAAAGCGCATTGTTTTTTTGTCTTTTATTTTAAAAATAATCAGGTTTTGTTGATTAAGTCGCTTCTTAACTATTTTGAGTGACTGAAAATGGCAAGTCCGTATAAAAAAATTAAAGAAAAACGGTTTATTTGCATAACTTTTTATCCTCCATCATGACTGTATTTGTGTTGAATAAATAATGGGGGAGATTCAATAGACTTATTGTTAGCTCTCCCGGGATAAAAGATATCCCAGGATAAATCCAAAGGGATAAAATTAAAGACACTGTCCGGGATCATGGAAGTGAGGGCAAAATTGAAATCCAAAGCTAACACAAAAATCTGTATCGAACAAAATTTGAAATTGCATTTTTTTTTTTTTTAGCTCAGAAACATTTTAAGAGCTCTACATCAAAGCGAAAATATGCAAGAAATTTTTTTTTCTTAAAATTTATTGCATGTAAAATTACATCTCGCTACTCCAAAAAATTAAAATTCTCAAATTTATTTTCTCATTTGCAGAGAAATCATATTCGCTGAATCTTTTAATTACACTTTACAAATAAAAATGGAAAAAATTAGTAAACATGAAAAAGTAAAAGTAAAAAAATTTACGATTTTCTTTCATCTGAAGTGTTGCCCAAATATTTAAAGACCTTTTATCAAAGTGAAATTGGTCAAATAATTTTTTTCTTATGACTATCAAATCAAGTATTCAACAGATCCAACAGTTTTGCACCGGCGAAAGAGTTGGATCCAATTGGATCCAACACTGCTGGTAGTGCCGGCAATAAAAGTAAAAAGTAAATAAGCAATATCAAATTATGTTGGATACAGATTTTAGTGTTAGCTTTGGATTTCAATTTTGCCCTCAATGCCATGATCCTTACAAAATTCTTTATTGATTGTTTTGCAAATGGCTAAAATTTAAAAAGTTCGCGAGCATGTTTATGATCTTCTAATAACCAGCTGATTAAATTTTTGCTCGGGTCAAATGTTTTTCCCGTTTTGGGGGCTAAAAAAAGTTATCCCCATAGACTTGGGGACAATACATTGAAGGCGGGACAAAAAATATTTAACCCGGGACAGTATTTTAAATTTTATCCCTTTGGATTTATCCTGGGATATCTTTTATCCCGGGGGAGCTAACAAGTCTATCAAAGTCTATTGAATCTCCCCCATTAATAATTCATTTCTAAGCCGTATATTTTTCATGCTAATATTAAATTTCCTTTGTAAGTTTGGCATATTGTTTCAAATTAAAATTAACCACTATTTATCTCTTTTCTTCATGAAACTTTTTAAATCCCAATCAAAAGCAACAAGGGAGCCGCACGCGCAGCCGTGCGTCTCATCCTGATTAAATCGATTTCAATTCAACGCATTCCGAGAGCTGCGGCGTCTCTTTCTGCTAAACTCATCACTCATTTCGCAGAACGCGTTAAAAAGAAATATTCGCAAAAAGCCCGAGCCTCTTCTTCAAAGGCAAAACAGGCCGCCGCACAAAAGAGCCGCGCTTTATTTACCCGTCGAGCAAACCGACGCTGCTCTGAATTTTTGCAACAAAAGAATGCCACTGCTGTCGAAAATATGAGAGAGAAAAACGCAGAGGAAAAGAGGAAATGAAATGTTTAAAATACCTACGTGTGTGTACTTTTCCATACGCAAGAGAGACCGATATTACACATTCTCTTTTCGCATTCAAATGCGCGTAAATGCAAACAAATGTGCTGCAAAAACGAGAGAAAGGATATTTTAATTCGCAAAATATTTTTGTTTATTCACCAAAGCAACTTGGAAACTCGTTTTAAATAAAGAGTTTCCCTTGGCTTAAATCAACTAATTGATTCCAAAAAGTGACAATGTTCAATAATTGCTTTTTATTTCTTTTTTATCAATTCAGTGCTGGTATCATTTTTATGGTTTTCTCGCAATGAGGTAGTAATTATTGAATTTAAAATCAGCAAACTTTTTCCCGCTGCTTTTGTGGTTTTGCTTTAGCAGTTAATAAATAAGGCTTTAAAACAGCAGAAAACCTGTTATGAGCAAATTCTGGGATTGGTTGATGTTGATATTTTTGTGTGCAAACAAATAAATTTGGGAGAATTTTATTATTTTATAAATTAATTTCATTTAATTTTGTTTATACGACCTTATCTTTATTTAAAATTTTTTACTAACAAGAATCATAAAATAGCATGATCTTAAAATAATTTAAAAGCAGCTTGATTAAAATAACTTTAAAAAGTTATTCCTTATTTTGTAGGATGAATCCAATGCATAAACCTAAAATAAAAGTCAATAAAGACTGTAATCTGGCCCAATCTGGCCCCATAACAGTTCGCAGACGCCATGCAAAGTACACAAAGAGTCGTGTGTCGGTTGAGAAATGAAATTTCCGCCACAGAGAAATGTGTGCAAAAGAAAAGCTAATGGCCCGTTCCCATGGGACGAGAAAAGTGTGCTTGACAATCAGCCAAGCTCGCGCGGCAGATTTGCATCTCGGCTGCGCTGATAAATGCGAAACTACTTCTCCATTTGTGCAAATAAAGCACTCTCGAGTTGCCACCGCTGGAACGGTGCACATAAATATGGATGGCATAACGCAGGGGAACGGCTAGAACTTGAGCAGAGAAGTTGCATTCGCAGATAAAAATCGATCCACTGACGTCGAGTGAGACAACGGGTCTCCAGGGCTGCATTTTTCTGCACTCTTGTTAGACACCTAACGTGAGATAGAAAAGTTAAAAAAGGTTTTAATTCAATTCAAATTTTTTGTCTCGTAACACGTCATACAGAAATTGGAAAGTCACATTGGGAGAGAAATGGTTTCTAAATTAAACCTACTCGCTGATCTGGTGCCGTAAACGATATATGCAAATTAAAGTTTTAAATTTTGAAGAATTTATAAATTAAAACTTGTAAAAATTTTACAATAACTTATGAATCCATATAACTTTCATACACTCAATTTTAATTTTATTTCCATCTCTATCTTTCCAAAGTCTTTGAATTAATCGAAACGTGAATCATTAAAAGAAATAATAATTTATCTTAATTTATTCTTCAAATTTCTATCCGTCCAAATATTGTGATTTATAATTTATATTATTGTAAATTACTGCAAATTACAATGTCATATAAAATTTATTTCGCTTAATTCCAAAGGTATTACGTAGAGAAAATTGCCTTTGTGCGATCGACAGTTTTGTGATTTACTCTCGCATATGGTGCACAACTTTGCGACAAGTTGCCGGTAGCACGTTGCAAAACTTGCACTGTGCATTAGCAAATTGCCTGAGTGGCAGTAAGCGCATAAAACATTTCTCCTCGTGTCGGCCGCCATGTTTAATCCCTCAGGCTCTGAATAATGCGAAAGTACCCTTGGCAGCATCTGGAGTTCATTTTCTCCGTACGTATTATTTTTCAAGAAGACTTTTCTTGGGGAGTGAAAGACCACAATAATCGGTCGCAAATTAACAGGTTGGCACTCGAGGGGGACACAAAAGGAAGATCCGACCACTCGTAGGAGCAAAAGGTACTTGGTCTATCGCGACACTTGATCTCACCGCCAAATTGACGCCGATCAAAGCGTGTGCCACTTTTTTCCGCACGAAAAGCGTCTGCTAATTTTGGCAGACTGCGAATCGACGCTTCTCTTTTGGACGGGCAATTTATTTCCATTTTCGTGCAAGAAAAAGTCGGAAAGGAATCAATTATTGATCGAGCCACAGCTGCGAAAGTGCTCGTGCAAAAATACGTATACATGTACATATGTATAAGATGTACATGAAAAGAAAAGTACCCTTTGGCTCGTCGAAAAGAAACACTCTTTGGCAAGCTGAGTGATGAAGTATTATTATTGAATTTGAAACAAAATTCTAATTTTGGTGCAAAAATTTATTTTATTATTTCACATTCTTTAAAGTGTACGTATTCATTAAACATACAAACGTTTCATAACTTAACCTAGGATTAAAAAATAATAATTAATAAGTATATTTATACATTTTTTTATTGTTAGACATGTTTTAATATTTATTATATTTCATACTTCTTTTGTCAATATTTTCATACACCATAGATTATTGTAAATTATTTTTAATAAATATTTTTATTTATTCTAAATTTATTTCTTTCATTCTACATTATTTTGGTATAAGATTAAAATTTTTTGAGACAGTTAAATAAAAAATTGTAATAAGAAATTTTTTGATTTTTTGGTGTTAATATACTATTTTGCTCAGTGTGTATCTTTCATACTAATTATTTATACAAAAAATTCTTAAAGGCAACCCGTTTTCTCGCTTAGATTATTGAGATGTAACTGTTATAAACTATTTACGTGCATTGATGAAATTAGATCTCATATACATGGGAGCACTCGCTAGCAAAAAATAGATTAAATTGAAAATAATTTTGTTAAAGCTAGACTTGATTAAAAATAAATTAATTTAATAATTGAACTAACTTCCTTGGACCCTGCGTATAATATCATTTCAATTAAAATAATTACTTTTTTTCTGAATTTACACTATTTTTTTCTAAAATACTATTGATATTGGACAATATTTTGTGATAATATCCAAATATTTCATACAAGAAACTAGCAGCGTCACATTTATATAAAAAATATATATATATATATATATATTTATAGCATCAAACTAAAGGTTTATAATAAATAATACTCTTTTGAGAATTACCTTGAGATTTTTCAGCCAAAATTTGAGCCTTAAAGCCCTTTTTTTTAGATAAAAAAAAAAAAAAAAATAGCAACAGTATATAGTTATGATTATAATTGGGAATGAGTCATCTTAAATATATTTTAAAAATATTATTTTTACCATCCTAAAACATATTTTACCCCAAGATCGGGGATTTTTTACGATCAAGGGTGATCGTGAAACAATATTGGATTTTGGCGCGCATTACATATTGATACTGGGATTAAGCATCACCGCGCTTTGATTTGGAAGCTTTACTGCGCGGAACCAGCAGCCGCGTCAACTGCCAAAAAGCAAGCCACGGTTCGCGGCATTTTGGGGCGATCTGTGTGTGCACATCAGGTAGTACATAGTAGTTTTATCTCTACGGCGAGATGCAAAAGCGAGATTTTGAATGGCGGTGGATCACTGTCGGATGAGTGCGAGATATAGAGCGCAGCGAGTCAATATTGTCCTTTGACACCGAGTCAATATTTAAGCACACGTGTTGAGCGAAATGGCCATCCCTTTCTCTCTCTCGCACACACACACACATTTTTATTTCATACATCTGGGCGGGCAGAGGAACACAAAGGATGCCTGTTGTCCGTCCGAAAAAGGGACCACCCTCTGCTCTGAGCGGCTGCCTTTGTGCCGGCCGAGAGATGCTCTGACGTCAATCAAGCTGGAAAAGTTGATCCGACTGATGGATCAAATCTCCCTTTTTCACTGGCGAAATCTCTTTAAATGGCTCAGCCATTATGCATTGGCGAAAAAAAATGGGCAGGCGATTGCTCAAAGTGATTATCGTTAATCTCCGCAACGGTTTGGAGATTTAACAAGACTGAAAAATTGCAAGCAGTCGGGAGAGAGAAATAAGCTGCCAAGATTAATGGAGGATTGCTTTTTCGCAAGGTTTTATTCATGTTAAGTGTGGAAAAAAATGAAGCATAAATAATGGCTTGGTTTAAGAAGCAATCATTTTAAGCAAAAATTACAGAACATTGAAGTATACAAATAAAAAATATTGCAAATATTCATGTACAGAAACGTTAAAGCCAAGTTTCCAATTCCAATTAAACAGATAAAGTAATAAAAAAGAGGATTTATTCCTGTTAAATTTCGTTTTGCTTGGTAAGTTTTAATTAATAATACTAATACTATTGCTTATAATGGAGCGTGAAGCGTTCTGAGTTCTGAGTACCATTTTGCATTTTGCTTAGTTATTACATGTCAATTTGTGCCTGGATACAACTTAATTATTTAAAACAAAAGTTAATTTTAAATTTATGTATTAAATTGTATCAGGGATAAATTTTTTTATGCAGATCTTATTTTAAATAGCTTTCTTAATTTATGATGTACATAAACATTTTATTTTAATAAAATTATTAAAAAGTTAACAAAACAATTTATAAGGAAGATTTAATACCCATATTAAATTTCATTAATATTTTTCAAATTAAAATTTAATAGTTAAGTGTGTAAATTAGTGTTTGCTGCTTTTTCTTTGTAGTGAACTTCCTAAATTAATAACAATGTATCATTAAAACACACAATTTCGCTCAACAAACGTTTGCTCTTTTAGTCCGGCGAAAAGGTGCAAACAGCAATTAATTTCGGCGCGAGGTGCTTCATTTTCGCACAGGGTAATGGTGTATGTTGAAATGCGGCAAAAGCGAGAACAAACCTCGGCCGGCCGGAGAAAGTCAATTTAAACATGATTAAAGTTGGAGCGCGGTCCAGAGCGGCACGGCAGAGAATGTGTGCTGGTATTTTTAATAAGGCAATAAAGGCCGAGCACGTGATTCGGTCGGTGAGGAGCGTCGAAGCAAATTTCATCGCCGAGCTCTTTTTAATAATGCAAGTGATGAGAGTTGCGCCGATGCAGATCTGCCAGAGCCAAATCCACTCGCTTTGATTTCCCCTGGCCCTGTCTTTCCTCTCTCTTCATTCAACTGATAAATAAAATTCACTCACGTCCCTTTCTCGGACCGACCGAATTTCGACAGGCCACTTTTTGGCAGCCAGACCACTCAATTCCGCCAAGCTATTCGCTTTTATTTATAAATAAGCTCAAAAATTAGCCGGCAAAATTGCGGCGCCGCAGCTTTTTTCGCTTGTTGAATTATTATTATTCTTCCCTCCGTTTTTACAAACGAACTCCTCCCATGCATATAATTTTTTTACGTTTCTCCGCCCTCCTTCTTTTTTACAAAAATATAAAAAAATGACAGTAAGGGGCAATAAAAGTAGTTTTTTTTTCTGTATATTTATACCCGACTGCCTTTTTCGCTCTGGCCGATATAAAATTTTAGTTGCGCGCCGCTGCGACATTCTTGGTCGCCGCCCAAAAACAAAAATCGCACTTGGCTCGATTGAATTTTTAACGCTCGTTTTCCCTTGCGAAGAAAAAAAAGCAGACACACGGCGCATTCTAGCACTTAAGAGGAGAGATAAGAAATGATATATTCTCTTGTTTTTGTTCCAGAATCTCAAGGATCAAATTCTGACGACCAACGTGTGGCTTGAACATGTAAGTACACTTTTCCTATAGCAAATTTTGATTTATAATATTTTTTAAAAACCAATTTAGGCAATTTATAAACAAGTTTGAAATAACATAACCCTTTTGCTTGCTATTTGCATAAAAATTAAAGATATAAATTTATCTCTTTAGGATTTCAGTTGAACTCTTAATATGAAAGGCAGAATATTAAAAAATGTCTACATTAATAAAAAAAAAAACAGTAAATTTTCTTTAAAAATAATTAAATATTGTTCAATGCTACTTATTCACATTATAACTTTATCTTATTCATGAGGATCTCATCAACTTCATAAAAATGCTAAATAGTTCCCCATTTTGCCAAATTTAAAATTCTTTTCAACAGTAAAAATTTCTTAAGGGACTTGAATGTTGCCAAACTTTCTTTCTTTCTTTTACGACAACTCTGCTAAAACTTTCCCCACAAATTCGGAGAAATTTCCGCCCCACATTTTAATTTTGCGCGGCCAGAAATGGAGATCAAAGGCCTCACGATTAATTATTATTCCACTCACATGTTGCACTAATTACATTGATTAAAATCCCCTGCTCGCGGCGGCCAGCGCAGTCTCTCTTTCGCCGCCCTGACGTTGATAATTAAAATCGAGTTTTGCGGAGCACCAATTTATACCATAGTCGCAAAACGGGCGCGTCGGCGTGAATAATTAATGAGACCGCCGCCGAGTAAAATTTAACAATGTTGTGTGTGTTGCAGGAGTGGCAGGATCACAAGTTCAGGTGGGACCCTTCCGAATATGGCGGGGTAACTGAACTCTACGTCCCGTCGGAGCACATCTGGTTGCCGGACATTGTCCTATACAACAAGTAAGAATAAGATTTACAAAAAAAAAAAAAAAAAAAAAAATTGTAAATTTACTATTGTTAAAAAATATAAATTAAGTGACATTATTATAAAAAATTGTTATTATTTATTCAATATTTATTAATTATCTATTAATAATTTATTTTTACCATTTTTCAAATAAAATTTAAAATTTACAAAACAACTCAGATGATGCAATTTTTGTTTTATTCTTGTTTATTTTTTTATTATTAATATCTTATATAGACGCAAAGTATGAACATTATTTTTAATACTTAGTAACAAACTTAATTTTTCCGAGCTTTTTGGACTCTTCATTTTTCATTTATTGTCTATTGGAAATTTTCATTTTAGAAAGAACGTAAATAATAATAAATTAATTTACCTGTTATTTTAAATCTTCTATAATATACCAAAAATCATTTAAGAACTTGGATTTTTGCACTTCTTTTTCCCAACGCTTTATATTTGTTTGTAGTACTTACATAAAATACATAGCACCCCCATTCCGCCATTGTTCTCCAGCGTCCGTCGCCCCTCGTTACTCGCCCCATCGGCTTGTTTATTGGCGCCGTGCATTTATTTCGGCCATAATGGGCCGGCAATTAAACGAAAAGTAGCGACGGCGCTCCATCGCCAAGAGCAGATAGCGCTCTCGGGCGAAATGGGGCGCTTTCGGCCTTTATCTCAGCCCAACTTTAATTATTCAGCCAGCCGTGAAAGATTTATTGCCGCGAGCCGGGCGGATTCTGCTACGTCTTCCAGCGCTTCCTTATCTTCTTTTCCCTTGATGAAGCACACAAGAGGCTTATTTACTCATTTATATACTCAAACAAAATACATGCCCCAGATTGATCCCCACCACTGATAAAAACATTTCTCATTTATTTCCCCCTGCTTTACTCGTTTCCACAAAAATGCCCTTTCCGACTTTCGGCCCAGAATCCTAATGGACCGGATCAGTGGGGCGAATTTGCGGAACGCGTCGCCCGATGATGTCGCCGCCCCCGGGGGCTGACCGCACGCTCGTAAATCTTGTCGATCGGCCCCTCGAGGGCCTTTAAAAACCACCCCCGACCGGTGGTGCTACTGTTGAGGATTATCTGAAAGACAAACCGCAGCTCCGTGTTTCCGGCCGGAAATGAGAGCCTCCGTTTTTTTATTTACCCCTGCGCCTGCCACCGTGTCCGTCCTTTTGGCGATTTGGCTAATGGCCTGGTGTGTTTGTGTGATTTGCAGCGCCGACGGCGAGTACGTCGTGACCACCATGACCAAAGCCGTGCTCCACTACACGGGCAAAGTCCAGTGGACGCCGCCGGCCATTTTTAAGTCGTCGTGTGAAATTGATGTCCGGTACTTCCCATTCGACCACCAGACGTGCTTCATGAAGTTCGGCTCGTGGACTTACGATGGTTTCCAGGTAAGTACATTTTTCCTTTTTTTTTAATTTATATTTCTTAGAAAACTCTGAATAGCTTTAAAAATAAATATTTAATATAATAGAAAGTGGTGAATAAACATTTTATTCGCTGAAAAATGACATTCTGAAATTGGATCATTCATATTGATTTGTATTGTAAATATTATTTATTATTTATTTGTCCCAAATTTTTGCATCACATTCAATAGATATGTAAGATGTAAAAATACGAATTGTATTAAAAACCTCCTGCAAACGATTAAATTTCCTTGTCTTCCTTTGATTAATTATTGTTGACATTGTGTGACAATGTTTTCATAATTAAAAATAATATTGTTAAAAAATTAAATGTCTTCAATCTCATTTAAATTGCTACGAATTGCAAAAAAAAACTAAATTAATGAGTTGAGTTTCATGATCATAAAAGTCACATATTTTTAGAATAAAGCGAATTCTTTCATTAGTGTAAACAAAGGAAGAAAAAGAAAATTTAATGGATACATTAAAGACTTATTTATTAAAAAAATAAAATTTTTATTAAAATTTTTGACGCAACTAGAATTAATTAAAAATTCCCACTAAATTTCCCACTGGATTAGCGTGACTATTACAATGCCTCGGCAAAATTGCACCTTTCCCAATGGAACTGAAGAGGCTAAAGAATTTTAATAAAAACGTGAGAGCAGCTTTCCACATCAAAGTGCTCTTGAGCTGCATTCTTGTCCTGAAATTAAAAATTTTAAGCTTCCTGTTGTGAGTCCCCACTGTAAAGTTTTATTTGTTTTGATTAAAGTTAACAAGCGTTTTCAAAAAATGACCTTATTTAATCAAAGGTTTTTTTTAACTCATTGTCTTCAGAGTTTTTTCCAAATTATAACAATGGTAAATAATATAAATTATAAATTAAATAACAATTATTTCAGGCAAATTTTAACCAAAAACACTTTTTTCTTCTGACAAAAATATTCTTTAAGGAAAAAAAAACGTGGCATAATTGGAAATTGTGATCCTCAATTTATAAAAAGTCAGACATCATCCATCAAGAAAAGTCATAATACAAAAAAGAAAGCAATTATCTTTTACCTCAAGTCTTGTCAATAGTTTTTGCCGCCGATTTATAGCTTTTTGATGAGTCAAAGCCGTAGCCGAGCAGCTGCCTCAATAAGGGCCGTTGTTATTACACATTAATTACAAGCACGATCGCGTGCGTGTGCGGCAATAACCAATTAAACGAGCGTCATCAAGAAGCGCCACTTAATCCGCCAGCTTCGGACCGTAAATAAAAAGAAATTGTTTCGCCAAGATTTTTCGGCCTTTCCGCACAAACGCGGTGTTTGAACTAATTAATCGGGACAAAGCGAGAGAGGGAGTTAATCAATCACGCGGCGGCTCTCATCAGTTTTGCAATTAGGACGGGCAGCAGCTGATGCAGTCAGTCGGCCTCGTGTGTGTTTGTTTGCGCACACAAAGGGCCATTGTGGGCTGCTTTATGCGCCATAAATCAGCCGGCTTATCGTCCACCCAGCAGCCAACAGCCAGAGCTCCATCAAGTAAATGCACTCTGATGGCGCAGCACTTTTGCACAAAAATATTTACCCTCAACGCCGGCAAAATAGAGAGAGAGACCCACCTTTGTTGTTTCTGCGAAATTTCAATCCGCGATTCGAGCTTGTCCGGCACGTTTTTATTTATGTTTTTGCATACGTTGGGACGAGAGAGAAAAAGAGCTGCTAATTTATTCGTCTGCCTGTCGGGCTCGCTCCCGAATTGCCTGCTTTATTTGCTCAAATATTTCATCACTTTTCCAGCAGCTCACTCTCTGCCCGTGTGCGTGCGCCAGTAGGCAGGCAGGCAGCCGGGTAAACAAACAAAACGAGCTCTCTCATCTCGCACTGGTCTATTTATGACGCGACACATTCATGTCATGAGAGTGTGTCGGAAAATTTAAAAATGTGCTTCATTGTGCGAGTGTTTTTTACTATTTTTTTAATTTATACCATAAAGCAAAAATATAAAATAATAGTTTTTTTAATTAGACTCATAAATTTTGAAAACGTTCCATCTTATAAGTTGTTAGTGGTTTACCTATTATAAATGTTGTGAAAGTAACGTTAATTAAAATGAATCCATCTTCTCTTCATTATTTTTCAAAATTTTTAAAAAGCCGTGTTGATCGCACTCTGAAAGTTGGTTGCGCTATTTACTGAAATATATGGTGAAACATAGTTTTAAATCTAGACGATTTTTCATAAAAAAAATTATTTTACAACCTTAACTATTTAAAAGCATGGTCTGGACTTCAAGGTTACGTTAATAGTTTATTTGAATTTAATTATTTATTCTCCATTCATGGATAAACATTACCTTGCACACAAAATTAGGTCCATACAAATAAAATTAGAAAATTATTCATAGGCAATTAGGCACACAAAAAGTATCAACATCAAAAAAATATAAGCTTGAAAAAAGCTCTTTAGCCTATAGATATTAGTTAAATTTATTTAATTTGTAAACTATTATTATGAATATTATTAATTTTAATTTACTTTATTATGAAGTGTAAATGTTAATTTTAATAATAAATTTAATGTTTTGCAATATTTATTAATTTGTTATTTATTAGGTATTCTCCAGTTAAAGAACATTATACGGTTGATCTGTAGCGTTTTACAAAATATTAAATATTATTATATTAAATATTTAATATTTACACTAATTATTTAGTTTTTGAACTTCTAAAATATTGTTTGGTTCATGATTATTTCCATTTCTATCCCAAAATTAATTTTCAACCACTTTGTTACACATAATTTTTTTTCATAATCAATATAATTCTAATATGAAGACATTTATTTTGACACTTCGTGCCCTGCAAAGCTCAATTCTGGCCGAATTCAATGAGCTCCCCAGCTACCTTTCACTCTCTCCGCCTCCAAACGTCATCAAGCCAAGATTAATGGAGTCACTGGCAATCAAGGGGGACCATTCAACGGCGCGTCGGCCGGATCAAAAGGCGTGCTTTGGTCACGGAACGGGCGAGTGCGTGACCATAGCGAAGAGAAAGAGAGACTTTGGCTGAAACTACTCCATTCATGGCGTTCGTTGTTCTTGATCGCGTGCCGAGCCCCGAAAACGCAAAAGGGGCGGGGGTTGGGGCCGATTTATGGGCTCGCACAGATTTCAAAGAGTTATGGTGGCGGCAAAGGAGTGCCTTGGGATGGAAATTGCTCTCGGGCCGAGCGACATGTGCGCGCAGAAATTTATTTACAAGAAGGATTATTTTGCCTTTGTGCGCCGAGGAGGATTAAAAACGAGTTGTCTTCGCGGCAAATCGCATTACGACCACCAAAACAAACAGCAAATGGATTTTCGAGGGCTCCTTTCTCTCTGTTGCAAACACATACCGCTGCTTTTATTCTTTTCTTCTTTATGTGGGTCGCTCTTTATTCTCTTTCGCTTGGTTTCTGCCCCGGCTGCCGCTGCAGTGCAGGTTGATAACACTTTCCTCTCCGCTGCCCTCGAATAAAAGTGTAATCGCAAAACTTCAGTGTGCCGCAAACTCGCCCAAACTCTCGTTATTAGCGGCGAAACCGTGTGTTCGTTCTGGACTAATGCCTTTTTTGTCGCGACGTGATGGCGGAAATAATGAATTCAACGTTTTTCATGTGAAAAGTTGGTACAAAAAAGTATGCAATGAAACGGCGCTCAAATAAACCAATTCTCATGCTGAATGAATAAAATACAAGTTAGAATTTTAGTGTTTATTAAATAGTCTTACAAGTTCAGAAAGTCAAAACTCTCCTTTTGGATGTAACTGTATCAATTAAAAGTTTTATAGGAAGTAATATTTAGAGTAAAAAATTAACTTTAAAAAATTTCTGAGTGAGGACTAAAGGGAAACGTTTGAGGTTTTTCTCTCTTTGTAAAGCTTTATGAAATCAGTTTTTTTTCCCAGTAATATTTGACTTAAATTTTTTTCAAATTACTATTGATTGTTTAAATTGTTTCTTGTAAAGTTTTTAAGATTCCAGACCTTTTAATTATAAATACAATTCACCCCTTTTATTGCCAAATTCGGAAATTCCTTCCTATAACTCGCAAAGTTTAAGTCGCAATAATTTAAGTGAGTTTTCGAAGGGGTCTGTCTGACTGCCTTTCTTATGGCAGCGAGATATGATTTAACAGCTCCCCGAGCAAAGCCAAATTTTCTCCTCGTTTTCGGTATCGTTAAGCCGAGGGAAAACGTTGCATAAAATTTACGCCGCAGTCGTAAAGAAAAAATTATTGGCCTATAAAATGAGTTTGCCTGCCAGGAAGCGGTGCCAAAGCAGTACGCGTTAATATTTTCTCGTCCGGATTGTAGTGTGGCTGGTGTGTAAAATTTTTAAACAAAACTCCTTCCTTCGACGGCAAAAACTGCCTTTGACGCAGCCAGTGCTCATTATGGCATTTTGAATTCCGTCCAACCCTAGTTTCTCTTCAACTACAAAACAAGGCTAACAAAGTCTTGCACGCCGGCTAATTTCAAGTGGGGCGTCAAATAAAATAAATATTGCCGGAACGTGTTTTAATCTCAACGACGCTGTTTTGTCCTGCAGATAAATTAAATTTGGAGCTGCTTTCTGCAATAATTCCATAATCTCTCACCCCGCTCACGTAATCCTTGCGTGCACCGCCTCTTGATTGCGTCCCTCAGGTGCTGTGGTCAGTTTATTGAGTTTTTTCTTTTTAATCCTCAGATCGACCTGAAGCACATCAACCAGATGGCCGGAGACACTGGGGACATGGTCGAAGTGGGCATCGATCTCAGAGAATACTACCCCTCCGTCGAGTGGGACATCCTTGGGGTGCCTGCAGAGCGACACGAGAAGTACTACCCCTGTTGCGCTGAACCCTATCCAGGTGAGATAAAAAATTGAGGCAGAAACTTGATTCATTAAAAAAAATAGAGTCATTAACAAAATCATGATTTTAAATATGTATTTGTATTGCTTCAAAAAACATTAAGGCTGATTTTTATTATAAGATTTTAATCAAGTATAATGAAATTTTATTCAACTAAAATTAGGAATTTAATTAAAATGATATTGGTAAAATTGACTTGCATAATGAGAATAATTTGGTAAAAAAATATTTTTATAAATTAGTTTGAATACGTTTATAATTAAAATGATCAATTAATTTGAGGCGAGCTTAAAAATAATAACAATTACATTTGTTCTCTACTATCTATTATTATCATCATAATTTTTAATGAATTTCGAGAGATCAGATTTGTAGAGTTAACTGGACTTGCGTAAGTAGGCTTTTTGCCGAGCACGCACGTCACGCGGGCTTGCCTAGCTCGGCACATTCATCCTTTCTAATGAAGTGCCAGAGAAACTCGCCGACAAGTTTAATTCTTTTATCTTATCTGACGCCGGGTGAAAAATAACACGCGCGCCAGCTGAAAAAAAACCAGAAAGCAAAGTTGCTCTTTGCTGTCTGCCCATCATATTTCATATTATTTTTGGGCCAACTTGGAGAGAGTTAAGCCCTCTCCCGCTTGTCGTAAAAAAAGAAGTAACAACTAACGAAAACAAGACAAGAAAGAGTGTAAGCGATAAGGAGTAACGTCTCTGACTGCGAGGTTTATTCATGAAAGTAAAAAAAATAATAAAATAAAATAAAAACGCTTCCTGAATGTTAGAGGACAATAGACCGATCGATAAAAACCTCAAAACCACTTGGCCACGCGGCAACAACAAAGATTAAGTGGCAAAAGCAACTCGGTCGAAAGAGAAAGAAAAAAAGAGAAGCAAAGTTGCCCAAGACAATTACAACGAGGAGCGAGTTAGAGCGGCTCATTCCCTATTGATGCTTCGGAGCTAGAACAACTGAATCGGTCAGATAGTCTCTGAGGCGTCTTCAATCTCGCGCCACAGCCAATGGAGAGGGCCAATTTTATTTATCTCGCCAGACACGCACTCGGCTTCTCTCGAGGCGGAGAGACGCGAAATTGCCAGGGGATGATTTCGCCTCGGCACACCAGCACACAGAGCTCGGTTTTAATTTGCTCGCCGCGCCGCTTTATCGCCATAAATATATCACAAACAAGCAACGCACACTCGCACGCACCAGACTTTTAAGAAACAGAGAGAGAAAGAGAGAGTGCTCGTTAAAAAGGAACGGGCTAAGTCTGAAATTTTGCTCGCAATCTCAAGCTTTTATCGCAAGAAGAGCGTTATGAAGTTCTAAACGCACGCGAGAAGTAATATGGAAAAAATAATCTTAATCTTCAATAATATGATAATTTCAAATGAATAATTAGCAGATTGAAATAATTTTTATTTTTTGTTAATTTTTCAAAAGTAGAAAGCTTAATTAAAATTAATTAATTTTGGGCACATTATTGATCTTACAACGTATTATTTTTCTAAAAGGAAAAAATAATAACTGAAAAAATATTAACATTACGAGGTGGAATTTACTGCATTTATCCGCGTTTATTTTTAATATTTGATCAGAATTTTATACACCGAGTTTACAAAAGAGAAGCTATATAAGAATTAGTTATTATTAGAAATGTTCTTATTTTTATTTGAAATCTAAAAACTCATCAATTTATTTAATAATTCGTCTGATTATTAAAATGAATCAAGTGGGGTGAAAAATAGCTATTTTTAATTAAAAACCAAAACCAAAATGTATGAGTGGTTTTTTAAGTGCTTACATTTGTGTCCGCTTCTTCAAACATCCAAAAACTTTTTCCATCTCAAAAGTTTGGAATGAAAACAAACTTTCCGTGACGTCCGTCTCCAAATCGATAAACTGAGCCTGCCATTTCTCAAAAAAATGACAGCAAGCGCCCAGACATCATAGTACAAACGTAGTACAATTTTTAAGACTTGTTCATCCTCGTAAGTCATCTTTTGGCACGTTCTTTCCTAATTCGCAAAATTTGGGCGGCGCCTCCACTCGCCGAAGTTTCTCGTCCCGGGCCAAAATTTATCGAGCAGCCACTTTTCTCAAACGCAAGGAAAGAAGGAATTTTACGAGCTGCCACCTTGCGAAGTAGAAAAAACGCGGCTAAAAAAATTGCAGCCGTCGGACAGAAAGCACTCTTTTTATTTCTCACACGGGCGGACGTAAAACCTGCCCGGAGGCTGCTCAGCTCCTTTTCTTGCGAGAAGAAAGGTGAGTCGGTCTAATGCTCGATCACGGGGAGTCGCCAATTTCCATGCGAGCGGAAAAAGAATATATCCGGGCACATCTTCTCAGGTACAGAGTTTATTTTAGTCGGCGGGCGGGCGGGCGGCCCATTGTGGCAAACGGCTGCGAAAAGAGGCTCCAGTTTGTCAACATGCTCCTCCCGAATGGCCTGGTGAATTATTGAGCAAATAAAGTTGCTTCTTTTCGCCGCAGCCTGCACCAAGGTGAGCTCTCACTTTTTTTACGTCTCGGCGCGCGCGTTATGGCCGATAAAAGGGGTGTCTGCTGCCGAGCAAACGCTGTTTTGTTGTTCTGCTATTTTCGCTATTTCTGGTTCGGGCGCCCGCGGGAGTTTATCTCGCTTTATACTTCTTCACTTTCTCTCGTTTCCATTTATTTGCATTCAGCAGGCGGATGAGAAAGTTGATTATTCGCCAGCTGAGGGAGACAGAGAGAGAGGGGCGCGCGAAAACTTTTGGCCATCGTGCGCGGCACGCACACGCTGTCATGCACCTGATGATGATGGAAATAAGCCTATGATTCAGGAGGCTAGGGAACTCCAAGATTGGAGTTCAATTTTTTCAATCAAATTTTTAGCATAAAATATATTTAACTATCAAAATGTGTATGCATGTGCAAAAATAAGAATTCAAATTATTTAATTTGTCATTATTGTTATTACTTTTTAATAAAATGCTAATGATCTTTAATTTATATTAACTGACATTTATTATTTTTAATATTGTATATAAAATATATTTATTTTTACAAATTAAAATTTATTTAAAAAAAAAAGAGAGATTTATCAATAATTCATTTCTCTTTTTGAGTTGTCATAGGTCTACGTCTTATATAATTAAATATTATGACAAGCTATTAAAATGAATATAATTTATATACAATTGCTTGAGTGCTCTAAATACATTATTGGTATTAATAAAAAATTAATTAGCACTCACCTTCATTTGTGTACATTGATGTTTACGCCTGTCTGATGCATATTAAATTATATTATGCGATTGTGTATAACAAAGTGGAGTATGTGGACAAAAAAAAAACAGTATAATAATGGTTCCATAGTTTTATTAATGTATCATAATCAATTTCAATCACATTGAATTTCTCTGGTGATTAAATGATTAGTTTTAATTTATTCATGTAAAATAGTTAAATGGATGAAAATTTTTTTATCTGTTTAGGATAATTATCTCTGGTTTAGCCGATTTATTCAGATTTTAAATTTATTTCGCCATTCGAAGTTGGTTAAAGCCTAAATTTTAAGGGGCTCATTATGTATAACTGATGAAAACACAGAAAACTCTTTGGTTTAGGCTTAAGATGCAAACAACCTTAACGCGCTTCTGGAACAAAGAGACCCTTTTGCAACAATAGGGCATCAATGACTTGAGAGGGTTGAAGGGGTCACGCACGCTGTCGGAACAATAGAACAAAGACCTTTCCATATTATATTTATGGTCAAACAAAACTTCAGGCTACAAGTTTGTGGCATAATTACGCAGCAAGTTTCAAACTCGCTTAACAATAATGTAAAGTAAAGTATTCGCAAAAAGCTTATGATTTTTTGTTCAACTTAACGAGACAATCAAAAGCGTTTCCGTAAACACGTCGGTTTACCCCTTCTACCGGTGCTTGGATGTGTTTGCAAGTCCCAGGTGGAGCTCGGCTTTTACGGCCAGCCTTAATTAACGAGTGTGCCGAAACGCGAGGCAAGGCACACACTCACGCATCGCATCAACGCACACACCTCTCGCTCGTTCGCTTCATTATTCAATAACCGCGTTCAAACTTTGGTGAGAGAGAAGAGCGAGCGAGCGAGCGAGCGGAGGACCAAACTTCGTTAAGAACTCCTCGTTTCGGTGCCAAGTCTTGCGAGCGAAAATTGTAATCGATTTGCGGAGAGAAAACAGTAAAGACCACGTCAGCATCAATTTCAAAGAATTAATTAATAAAAACAAATCTACATAAAAAAGCAATAATTTAGCACAGTAAAGTAAATTATATTTTTTTTTCTTCATATTAATTAAATTCCAATTAAAGAAATAAAAATATGATTTCATTTTGTTGTGTCTTTGATCTCCAGATATTTTCTTCAACATCACCTTGAGAAGGAAGACCCTGTTCTACACAGTGAACCTGATCGTGCCGTGCGTCGGTATCTCGTACCTGTCGGTGCTCGTTTTCTACCTGCCGGCCGACTCGGGCGAAAAAGTGGCCCTGTGCATTTCCATCCTGCTGTCGCAGACCATGTTCTTCTTGCTCATTTCCGAGATCATCCCGTCGACGTCGTTGGCGTTGCCGCTGCTGGGCAAATACCTGCTCTTCACCATGGTGCTTGTGGGACTTTCGGTGGTCATCACCATCATTGTGCTCAACGTGCACTACCGAAAGCCCAGCACACATAAAATGGCCCAGTGGGTGCGACAGGTGAGAGAAAAATCGCAGCCGCTCAATCATTGGCAAAGTAGAATCATCACACAGGTGTTTGTTTCTAGTTGAAGTTTTGTTTTCTGCATAATGTTATTTTATTTTTAATGTTTCTTAAACTTTCAATTATAATAATGATAATTACCAATTTTTACTTCTCAAACATTTTTTTAATATTTATATCTGTTATATTAATAAAATATTATATAATTTTTTTTTAAATATCGTTTAAATTTTTTTTTCTCTTTAAAAACCCATTTTCAAATAATATTTTTTTATAATATTAAAAATCTCAATATTATATATCTATGCCGCTACAAATATCTTGAAGTTAATTCTTCATTCCTCTGAATTCTCTCAAGATTTCTTGTTGGTTCTTATTAAAACGATTAAATTTTTTAATAAAAATTGAATTTAAAATAGTAATTTAAAAAATCTCATTTAGAATATTTAAATTTGAAACAATTTTTCTGTGAATGTCCTTCAGATTTTTATACGGCGGCTGCCGAAGTTGCTATTGATGCGTGTCCCCGAGCAGCTGCTTGAGGACATGGCGTCCGGCACGACCATCAATGACACGATGATGCGTCGCACGGCAGCCGCCAGGCAGACGGCGTCCGGTCTGCGACCAGTGTCACCGCCGTTGCCCCTCAGCAACGGCCTCAGCAATCGCTTCGGGGGCGGCCTGTCCGCCTTCAACGGCTTCTCGTCCGCGCTGGACGCGCACAGTGACGGCAGCGATTTGCTGCTGGACGGCGGACACCGCCGCAAGTACCCGTTCGAGCTCGAGAAGGCCATCCACAATGTCATGTTCATCCAACACCACATGCAGCGACAGGACGAGTTTGACGCGGTAAAAAAAAATAAATCTGGTATAATTAATAAAAAAAATCACGTAGACAAGATTAAAATGATAAATAAAAAAAGTTAATGAAACTATCTAATTACTTTGGATTTTGGATTCATTAAAAAAAAATAATTGATTAATGAACGAATTTGATAGAAAAATTTCTTTTTTACATTCAATGCTTTTTCCATTATATTTGCTTTAATTAAAAGTGGCTGCAAATTTTTTTTTATTACACCCATTATAATGATTATGTTTGTAAACAAGCATCAGTTCTTCCATTTGGTAATTGATGAGCAAATGTAAATTTTTAAAAAAAAAGTATACACAAAAATGTCAAAAATAAGAGACGTAAAAGTTTAAAGTGATAAAAAAAATTTTAATTAAAATGTTTTCAATAAAAACTAATAAAAATTCCTCTGTTTGATTGCACAGGAAGATCAGGACTGGGGTTTTGTGGCGATGGTGCTTGACCGTCTTTTCCTATGGGTCTTCAACATCGCCTCTGCCGCAGGAATTGTGCTCATCCTGTTCGAGGCGCCCGCCCTGTACGACAACACCGAGCCCATCGACATTCGCATCTCGGAGGTTTACAAAAAGCAGTTCCTGCTCGAGGTCGATATCTGAATCAATCAATCAATCAACCACCCGCACACCACTTTTAAATAAATATCACCCCCCGCATATTTGTATATTGAGAAAAGCAGCGTTTTCATGTGCCAAAAATTTCAGTTCAGCAGCTCGACAATTTCTCAACTTGAGAATATTTGTATAATAATGTAGAGAAAAGATATTCTAAAAAAAAAAATGAAGCGCGCGCAAAGTTGTTTTATAGAGAAGCACCATTTATTCGCATACGTAAATTTACCTACTTGTCATAAATTAAAAAAGAAATAAACTTCATATAAATTGACATACATCAATATCCGCCAAATTATTTGACGTCAAAAGTATAATTTTTGTATTTAAAATATCAACAAATAAAATAATTTTTTTAACATAAAGAGAGACATAAAAGGTTAACAGAAGTGTTGCTCATTGTGATTTTTAAGAGCCAGAAAATTAATAATACAATAAAATGCATTTTTAAAAATTTATAATTAAGTTAATGAAAATAGAAAATAAAACAGTATTCCTGGCTCTCGGTATGTTACCTGCATTCATCAGCGCATGAACTTAAATTACTCATATTTGAATAAAAACTAAATTTATATGTGTAAATAGCTATAAATTTTGCTGTGGTGCTGTTAATCGTTTAATAAAGTTATTCCCACACACTTTACACAAAAAAGCATGAAAGGCAAAAAGAAAGGAACTGACACTGTCTTTCTAAGATGTAAGTCCGTTCTTCCAAAAATTAGGGTAGAACCCGCAGATAAAAAATTTATTTGAAGAAAAATAAGAAAATACCCAATTTTTTTTTGCAACCAGCTATATGACAAACCTAGATAAAAGCTTGTCGTAAAATAGAGCGCATCCGATTTAAGAAAATGAACAAAGATCTGAAAAATTGGGGTCTTTTATGACATTGGACTTATAAAATTTAGTTCGTCGCATGTGCTCAACTAGTGGAGTCAACGAACTAGCTGTCTGCGACGATTTCCAGTGCACAAATGTTTAATTATTTATAACCATTTTTCTGTTATGTTGATAAATAAAAAGAAGTTGGTTAATATATTTATGAAAATTTTTAATTTAACTAAATATTCACAACAACAAACTTACTTTGCAAAATATTGCTATTAATGAGAGAAGGCAGAGAGCAGTCTTTGAGGGGTTAACATGTTGATTGGAATTTCTTTACAACAAAGTATTAATTGAGCAAGGGTTCCTCTTTTCTGGCTCTGCACTTTTTACAAGCCATGAATATTCCGCCGAAAACAAAGAGGGTGGCAGGAACTCCGAGACCAATGGCCAAGATCAAAATCACCAGCAGTGAGAACTTTTCTTTCGGTGGTTGACCATACCCCATAGTGAAGGTCCTGCGAAGATTAGATTAATTAATTTCTATTATTAAAAATTTGTCAGCTATCAATTTAAATACCAGGCATTGTGATTAGTGGCTCTGTAAAATCCGTCTTCGGAGACTCCGAAGGAAATGTTCAGCGCTTGAGGCACAAGTGTGTGGGCAAGGCTGTGACCAAAAAAGTCGTGCAACAAGGAACCCTTCAGGTGAGCTTGGCTGACATTCCTCATGGGGTAGTGAACAGTGGTGGTCGACTCTTCGATGGCTCTGGCAGAACTTGTGTAAGCAACAGGCCTCCATTCCAAATAGCCTCCCAGACCACCGTTTCGCACAGTAGGAGTGAGCAACTCATCAATCTACATCACAATTTGAATTTTTACAAACACGAAATAAAGTCAATTACTAGAATTAAAAATATTAAATTATCTCTAATATAAGTGTTTTCTTTTTTAGATTTTTTTTAGTTATTTTCACAGATTATTTTTTTTTTAAATTCAATTAAGAAAATTACAAAAAAAACCCAAATTCATTTCCCTGAATTAAATATTCTATGATGGTTTTTATTCTTAAAATTTAAAATTAATGGAAGGATATAATTTTTTGCCTCCATTCCCATCAAGCAAGAGCCTATTTTACTCTTTTTAATCCACCTTTGAGCAAAAAGTAATTTATAAAGCTTTAGAAGCAATTTCTTACAGTAAAAACTCCAGGCGTGTGCTCATCATCAAGGCTTCGCTTTTCCTCAACTTGGTCAGGTCCCTCTCCAGCCAAACTATCAACCAGCATAAATTGCAAGCCAAACCTCGACTTGCCTTTGAATTTCTTGGATGTCTCAAAATTTTCCAGCGTGATTTCAACCTGACTGGCATTTGAGGAATGCTGGATATGCGGCAGCAGAGGCCCATAACCATCTTTACCAAAAACAGAGAGCTATGAAGGGAAAAAATAATACCATCTTATTATAATTTTTTTTCTAAAAAATAATTATTTTACCATCATTGTAATATTTCCCTTCAAACTGCCGTTGTTGTACTGAGATCCAAGCAACTCAACTTGCAAATCTCCACCTTCCAGGTTAATTTTCTGCACCGACCAAGTGAAATTTTCGGTTTCACGAGCAATCGAATCGTTGGCCAAACTCATGTTAGCACTGTCCGAGGCATCATAAAACTCAATAACCTGCAAGATTTATTTTCCTGATATTTATAGGTCACAATCGTCTTTAAATAAAGTTACCTTGTCCAAGGCTAAACCAAATGAGTAATCAGGTTTAGGGTCGAAGCGAATTGTTCGGTTCTTAGTTAACCCCAAATTAGCCCAGTCGATTTTAAGCTCGGCGTCTGAATCGGTCACCGAGATGAGAAGACTGGGCTTCGAGTAAAAGGCCCACAAATAGTTGATCGTGTCATTTGGTCCCTGAGAGACCACGTGCAAGATCTGGGTCTGGTTGCAGTCCCATCGAGGTGAATCCTTGGGACAACCTGGGTTGGAAACCCAATGAACCTAAAGAAAAGAGAAAAATAAATCGAAACACATTTTAGTGAATATGTGCATTGAAAAAATGACTAATCTGATGGAATGCATAAGAATAATTGACCAGCATACCTGTCGTTCAGGGTCGGTTTGCCCTGACACAGATATTGAGAGAAGTGCAATGAACACAAAACAGAGCATTTCTGATCTGAGATCCAAAAGCGATCAAATCCTTTTTTAAATTTTGGCCGAGACACGGGAAAATTCAAATTTTTTGTCCACAGACTAGAAACGTAGATTTCTCAAGGAAAATGCCTGGAATTCCTTCTCAAATTCTACGTCTTGACAAAAAGGCACACAAATAAAAACTAACAAAAATCAGTCAGGTGACAATGACACTAATGACTTTTATGACTAATTCAAATCACGCCCCCATTTTTAAGCCAATCATAGGCTAGAATTTTAAAACTTTTAGCGGCAAAGCAGCGTGCACGAGCTAAAGTTTGCGTTTTTGTGGGATAGATGCCGCTGTTGACTCAATTTCCCTTTTTATCCCGAGGTTTGCCAGCTGGGGCCGGGCGCCGGAATGTGCATGTTGATTTTGGCCAAAAACAGCGTGGTGAAAATCTGAAAGTTCGAAATCGTTTTTCGTAGCGAAAACCAGAGTCAATTGCCAGAAGATAAACGGGTTCCCTTCGAAATTCTGCCACTTTTTATATCTGATTGGTTGATTTCTTAACCTAGGACGCGGAAAGTCGCATTTTTCTTCCACAAGCATGACTTCCAGTTTGCCGGGTTTGTTATTATATTGGCGCCTTATTTTATTTGCCCATTTTTATAATCCCTTATAATTTTCCAGGACTTATCTCAGATAAAGAAAATAGACCTCCCAATGCTGCTGACGCTAATGAGGTCCAAATTATTGGCACCAAAGCAGAAACTGCATGTAAGAATTAATTTTTTGAGTTAACTTTTGTGTTTTATATCTTTCGTCAGGTCTTGTAGAACGAGAAGTGTGTTGCGTCGGTCCGTTCTACCTTCGACTTCTGCACCCCAATTATGTCGAAGCTGCGTCTGGAGCTGACCACTGTTTGCCTTCGGGAGGCGTGGACGAGTTGGACGAAGAGGAGGACGAGGCTGAGCAGTTTGAGGATGATATTGAGTACCTGAAGAGCCTTGACCCAAAGGAATGGAAGGACCAAGATCATTACAGAGTCCTTGGCCTCAGGACGAAGCGAATCAAAGCCACCGATGGTGACATCAAACGCGCCTGTATGATATTTTTAAGCTTTTGTTGCAATCAAGTATTTAAATTTTTTAATCCCTCCAGATCGACAAAAGGTTCTTCGCCACCACCCTGACAAGAGGAAAGCGGCAGGTGAAGTTGTGAGTCAGGATGATGATTATTTCACCAATATTACAAAGGCCTGGGAGACTTTGGGCAACCCTATTGCTAGAAGAGCCTTTGATTCTGTTGATCCTGAATTTGATGATGATTTGCCAACGCCTAGTGATATTAAGAATAAAGGATTTTACAAGGTATTATTATTGCATCTTGCTGGTTCTCTTTTTAATTAAGCTATTTTAGGCTTTTGGTCCTGTTTTTGAAAGAAACCAAATCTGGTCTGAAAATCGGCCTGTGCCTACTTTAGGAGATGATTCAACTAGCAGAGAAGAGGTTGAAAAGTTTTACGCCTTTTGGTTTAATTTTGTGTCATGGAGAGAGTATTCGTATCATGACGACGAAGAAGCTAAATCTGGATCAGAGTATGTTTCGGCAAAGAAAGTTTAATAAAATTACAGCTAATGTAAAAAATTTTTAGTCGAGACACCAGAAAGTGGGTTGAAAAGCAGAACAAAGCACAGAGGGCCAAGCTGAAGAAGGAGGAAATGACTCGTATCAGGAAATTGGTCGACATGGCTCACGAAGCCGACCCTCGAGTCATCAAATTCAGGCAGCAGGACAAAGAGGCCAAGCAGGCCCAGAAAGCAGCTCGTCAATCAGCAATTCAAGTACTGTTTTTATTCAAAATTTCAAATTATAATCTAATAAAATAAATAAAACTCTAAGGCGCGCAAAGAAGAGGAAGAGCGAGCTCGGCAGGAAGCTCTGCAGAAAGAAGCAGATGAGCGTGAGAAGAAACAACAGGCAGAGAAAGCCGCTCAGGAAGTGCAAAAGAAGCAGAGGGAGGCAGTGAAGAATGCGCTTCGCAAGGAGAGAAAAGCTCTGAGAACCGTCTGCAAGGACAACAATTTCTACACTTCTGAAGGAGAAGATCATCTGCAGAACATGATGAAGGTTGAGTCCATGTGTGACGTTTTTCAAATTGAAGAGTAAGATTTGTTTGAAAGATACTTTTAAATTCTAATGTAATTTTGGTGCAAAACAGATTGAGTGAACTGAGCAAGATTTTGATTGCACAAAATGCTGAGGAAGGTCGAGAGACGTTCAAGACGTGGTTACAAAAATTAGAAGATCGACTGCAGAAGGAAAGGAAGCAGGTAAAGAAAAGAATTTAAAAATAGGCCTGAATTTTTTTATTAATTCTTAGGTATTAAAAAAAATGTAATCATCATGAGAGAGCCAATGGAGAGAAATTTCTCTACATTGAGCAGATGTAGAGAAATATTTCAACATTGAGCTGATGTAGACAGATTTCTCAACATTGAACCAATGTAGAGAAATTATGATATTGATTACCACTTTTGAATGTTTTTTGTACATGTATATTTTTTTTTTATTCAGGTAATGGAAAGTGCTGCTAAAGGAGCAACTGGAAAGGGGAAAGGTGGGTCTTCTACTGAGTGGACACCGGATGACCTGGCTTTGCTGATCAAGGCTGTCAATCTGTTCCCTGCTGGAACAAATCAGCGCTGGGATGTGGTTGCACAATTCATCAACCAGCACTCGTCGAGCGGCCAGGAGCGGACGGCCAAGGACGTTTTGTCCAAGACGAAAGGCCTCCAGAGTTCCGACTACTCGAGCATCAAGGATGCGGCCAACAAGAAGGCGTATCAGGACTTTGAGCGGAGCCAGAAGACTGTTCCGAGCGTTGTCAGTGACGAGCAGGCCTCGCAGAGATTTGACAGTATGATTTTTTAATTTGTCAAGCAAATTTTTAAACTAGTTATTATTATTCTTAATTCAGGCGTTTCCGAGCAGCAGGGTATGGGTGCTCCTTGGACTGCTGAAGAACAGAAGTTGCTGGAGCAAGCTTTGAGAACTTATAATTCAGCCACTCCGGACCGCTGGGACAAAATAGCAGAATGTGTGCCAAGTAGGAGCAAGAAGGACTGCCAGAGGCGTTTCAAGGTAGGACAAACTGAATTTCAATTTTTTGCTAATTCTTTATTGTCTGGTGGTTCTTTCATAAAACATCTTTCCTCCTTTAAAGTAAAAAATGTCCTGGAAGGTCTCTAAAATTCAAATGAATATTTTCAGGAACTTGCTGAAATCGTTAAAGCGAAGAAAGCTGCTCAAGCAAAAGTAGCAAGCAAATGAAAGTCCTTATGACTGTTAAATGTTCAATTCTCAAACCATCTCATCACTCAGCAAACAATAAACGCAAGAAAATACTATTTGCATCGATTCTGAAATATAATTGCAGTTTTCTTTTAATTTTTTCTATTTAAATTCAGGTAATACTTGTTTCAGTTAAAAATAATGAAATTGATTTGATTAAAATTTATTTGATATTGAGCAAAAAGCGGACAAACACAATAGATGAAAAAGATAAAACACGCACTCAATCTTGAACATATTTTAAAATTATGAGATTCTTCAGTTAAGCTCTTCTGCTACGTCTCTCTGCGAAATGGTGGACTTGATTCGGCTCAGCTCATCTCTCGTCTGCACGCAGTCTGCAAGTTTAAGCAAAAGTTCACAATTCTGTTTTTTGCTTAAAGTTGTTTTGAATTTTACACTTATCAGTCTTGACCCATCCAATGTACTCGCCGGTCCGTTCGTTCTCAGCCTTTAGCCACTCCTCCAAGGGGGCAAAGTACTCCCTGAGAGCGCCGGCGTCCATGGTGCGCTTTCCAGTCACAATTTCCATTGCCTCGGGCCATGGTTTGGAAGCGCCAAGTTGGAGCATGTCCCTAAAAATTTATCATTTTTAAAGACGTTTCAGTTTTATATAAATTTGAAAATACCCAAGAACGTTTCCAGCTTCGGTGCTCTTGTAAATATCGCAGTTGTGCAGCGGGGCTCCGTTATCGAGCTCTCCAGCAACTTGGCAAAGGCCTTTGTGGAACTGGAACTGGATCACAAAGCTGACAAAGTAGCGGATGTAGGGCACCGAGGCCACAATGTGGTATTTCGAGGCGACGTCAAAGTCCTCCTCAGTTCGGTGCACCGGGGGCTCGATTCCTTGGAACTGCTCACTGGTAAATATAAAAAAAAAATTACATCTAGAAAATTTAGAATAAAAAATAAAAAACTTACGCTAACTTCCACCAGTGGCAGTTGTAGTTCTCAGGGTTGGTTTTGCCTTCGAAAACGTCCCAACGCCACAAATCCATTTGATAGGCGAAAGGCAAGAAGGCGATTTTGTCGAGGGCGGTCGAGAACAGGTGGTTGATGTTTGCTTCTCTCGCAGCAACCTCGTCAGCGGCACTCGACGGTTCTTCAAAATCCGATTCACTTAAATTTTGCTATTTTTTTAAATTGAAAATTAAACATACCTTCCAAGAGTCCAATTGCTCTCAAGTGCTTTGGTGTGGACACGGACAAGGACATCACATCTCCGACCGCCTCGTGGAATCCTTGACAAGAATTTAAATATTCTCTGAAATATCGTTCTATTAAATATTTTACCGCTGTTGGCGCCAGTTCTGTAAACGATGGGCTGGTGCTTGTATTGCAGGAAATACTGGACGTGTCCCATTTCGTGGTGGGCCGTGTAAAGATCTTCCTGGTTGACGCGAGTGCACTGCTTAATTCTGAAAATTGTTTTTTTTTTTTTAAGAAATTTCAATTTATAATAATAAATTACCTGAAATCTTGAGCGTCAAAGAAGTCCCAGGCAGACGCATGACAAATCATTTCCCTGCCGTCAGTGGGCTTTTCAAAAATGGACTTTTGCCAGAAAACTTCCGGCATGGCCGTCAAATTGAGAGATGTGAAGAACTCTTCGGACAGTTTGTACATCTTCAAGGGAGTGTATTTCTGCAATTTTTATCAATTAAATTTTTGTAATTAATTTTTTCATGTAAATTTACCTGCTTGATCATATTGGCTGTGACGTCGGTGGATTGTCTGTTGGGATAGGGAAGCATGAAATCGGCAATGTTGCCCCACGTCTGGGCCCACATGTTGCCCAACAGGTGCGCAGGAATGGGTCCCTGAGGTTTGACGATCTCCTCTCCATACTTGAGACGCAGGTGGCGACGGACGTAGGCGTGCAGTTGTTGGTACAGGGGCTTCAGCTGGTCCCAAAGGACAGAGATCTGGTCGCGGAAGTCCTCGGATTCATAATTGCGGAGCCAAAGGGCGGCAGCATCAGGATAGTCTAGAAATTTCACATAAAATTAATTAAAAAATTAATTGAAATTAATTTTAATTAAATCTTTAAAGAATATTAAATTAAAAGCTACAGCTAAATTGGAATAAAAACATGGGAAGTTTAATAATTTTTTTAAATTAGCAATTAAAAACGTTTTCTGCTATTTTTAGGAAAAACAACAATAAACAAACAAAAAAAAACTGGGAGACAAAGGAGAACAACTTATTATAAATGTCTAATATATTTTCATAAATTTTACTTCACACTTACTATTCAATTTGGCTGCCTTGTTGCTCAGGGCAACGTACTCCTTGTAAAGGTCTTTGACTTGCTCTCCAGACTTTCGGCGCCACTCGATCCAAATGTGACGCAGCTCTTCAGGGTCTCTGCTCTTTATCAGCAGCTCAGTCAGTTCTGTCGATCATTTTTATTTTTATCATTTTTTCGTTTTCTATTTTTACTTCAATGCAAAAACACTACTATTTATCATGTCGCTGCCATTGCTGGCGAGCCAACTCGGTAATTAGGAATGCTAATTAATTCTCATCGCGGCGTAAACAAGGTTTTTACGCACGCAGGCAGCGTGAAGCAACTCGACGAACATCTCAAGTATGCTCGTCGTAAAAACCGCACGTGTTTTATTATTTGAGATATATAATTTCCCGGCAATTTGCCTGAGCCCTTTGACGATAAAATCAAAACTCGTTTAGTTTGTATGCAAAGAGCGGCGCGCGTCATTTGACACGCTTCGGCGCCGCTTTGTTTTTCTCTTTCAGTGACACCTCCTCTGATGAGGCTCATTACTATATATATAATTAATTAAGTAATCCCAGTTGACCAACCTGGCTCTAGGCTAAGGTCGCACTTGTCCGCCTCCTGGTAGCTGCAAATCTTGGCCTTGCTGTAGATGGTCTGCATTTCGCTCACGATCGACTCGTACTGCGGACAAAATTTAAGGAAAAAACGTGTGTCAGCAAACGCTTGATCGCCTTTTTAAATTTTTACTGTGCGCTTCACCTTGTTGAAGTCTTCTTCGGAGAGCGCCGCGTTGCCCAAAACGGTGCTCAGCTTGAATTTGCGTTTCAGGTCGGCGTCTTTAAACTCCCTCCATGGGTACTTGACCAGTTTGGCCCACGAATCTTTCGCAAATCTGGCGTTTTCGGCGGCCACGGTTAGCTGGATTGTGCAAAGACAGACATATTTGCAATCAGCCCAAATTTGCAAAGGGCATAAATAATTTTTTTAAGTGAAGAGATAATTCATAATTATCAAGTAAAAAGCCACATAATCTTCAAGAAGAAATATTATTAGCTTAAAAATAAATGAAACATATGAAAAATTACAGAAAACTTCATGATTATACATAAACTAATCAATAAATTTGCGTTAAATGCGTTAAAACAATAATCTCAAATTTTAATCTATTAAAATATTATTTGAAATGCTAAGAAATGTATAATTTATGACTCCTTAAAATTTCACATTGGAGCAAAAATCTAGAAATTGTACAGTCAATTAATAAATAATAAATTTTCTTAAATATTTTTAACAATCATTTCTTCACCTTTTGCTGGAGGTTGTAGTCGGTGATGTTGGAGTCGTAGGCCCACTCAGCCAGAACGACTCGGTTGTCGTGAATCCCGGCTTGTATGTCATACTCGGCGAAAAATTTGGCCGCTTCCTCCTCAGTGTACTTTTGGCCAGCGGCGTCTCTTTGCGCCCCGCCGTGCCTCGGCGTTTTCGGCTGCCAACGGCCACACTGCGCCCCAACGAGGCCAACGGCCAACACGCACCACATCAACAGACCCATCTAAAATTTGCAAAATCCATACAAAGTTCATAAAACTCCCAATTATATTGGCAAAAAAATTTGAAAAAATCTTAAATCCCTCAAAAAAATCAATAACACATAAAACCCTCACCAATTGACGACCCATCAAGAAAAATTATGACGCAAGCTTGAGTTCAAACTTCCAACAATTAGAAAACTTTTAATATTCAACTCAAATTTCCTCATTGTTGAGTTTTCAAAACATACTAATGATCCCTTATTGATCCGATATACATATTCATGTCAATTAATAATCAATTGATTATTAAAATTACCAATTTTTCCATAAATGCCGAAAATGGCCCTTTTTTATTAAAGACTAGATTTTACATTATATAAAAATACTTAAAATGTCCTTAAATAAAATATTAATTCTTTTTAATGTTCCTTTAAAAGTTATCAATTTGTTAAAACTTTTTTATTTGCTTCATCCATTGCAGACAATTAAATCCAGCGTTTTTGAAAATAAATAATAAATATAAATATTATTCAACACATTACTCTTGGTGTAGAAATGACAACAGGATATACCCTATCAAAGAAATTGAACTTTTACCACAACTCGGCTGGCATTTGCAAATACAAACACCGCGTGTCCCATTTAAAAAGAGTGTCAATCATCGGTATCAAATGGCCAATATTGGAAAATAAAAGTGGCCGCGCGTGTGAGGGTGCGAAAGAAAACGGGGAATCCGAGACGCCCTTGAGTTGCAATAATAATTTCTCTTTTGTTTCTTTAATTCCACAGCTGCACTCCTTTCTGATTTTTTTGTATCGAATGTCGCGCGCGAGCACCGCACATTTACTTGCCTGCAGTCGACAAGCCGCGACCAAAATCCAATGTCGTCTTCTTTTGCACTCAGTTAAAAAAAAGTCCGATCCTTTTTCGCAGAAACCCTGCTTTCATGTTTGTACCCGAAATTGCGACGAAAATGTGAATAAATCTAAACAGAAATCAAGTTCCTGCTGCACATTTTCCTCTTATCGCGCCGGAATTAAAACGTTTATCGCTTGGAAGGCCTTTTGTGGTTTTTTGTGACGAAAAAATTAAAATAAAAATAAACAGGAAACTAGAAAAACAGTACAAAAGAAATATGAGCAACTGCACATTTTAAAATTGTAAGTTTAATTCAATAAGTTTAAGCATTACACAATCAATTTTATATTAAAAAAAAAAAAATCATTTTTTCTGGACTAATTAAAAAAAATAGAATAAAACTTCAGCAGAACTAATTGTAAGTTATTTGGTTCCTCGTTAAATGAAAATTTAAAATGAAATCCACTCTCCAAAAATAAGTTTTTTCGTGTACTTACCCTGACTTGCAGGTGCTTGTGCCCGTGTCTCGCTGGTTGCGGCGAGTCTGTCGATTGGGTTGTGAGGCGCCGGCCAGATATATAGAGTTGGTCGGGTGCTTCGATGGTGGGGACCCTGGCCGGCTTTTCTGCTTTTTGCACCACTCAGGGCACACCCTGACGAGCTCTTCCTCCTCACCATCGATCGACATCACCTTCTCATTTAAAATAATATCGTGAGCTGCAGGAGGAGAACGCGCGCGCCAAACACACACAATGAATAAAAGCACCTTAGAAAGGTCGATCAGAGGTCACACGCGTTTAATTAATTTTATTTTGTAACTCTTCACTCTTTGTTCAAACACAAATAAAATACCGTCTGATTTGATTTTTAGGTTTTTTATGATTAATCAATTTCAGATTAATAATCAATTTAAATATTATTTGATATTATTCATGAGAAATTGCAAGTTTATCCTTTTTATTATAAAATTATTTTTCTTGTGAAAATACATTTATAACGCATTTTGTGTTTTCTATTGCATCAGTTTATATTTGTCTGGCAAAATTTAAAAAAAATTGCAAGGAACCACTGGTAAACATTTTTTATTTACAGAAAATAAATGGAATTTTTTTTTAATTTTTTGCAGAGCTCTCCTCAAATTTTTATTTTAGGGATGATCAACCACCTCAATATAAATTAAAATCCTTAATATTTAAGAAAACTTTTAATTCTCTGAAACAGAATCGGTTTTTACCAACTTTTACAATCAGTGTTTAAATTCGAGCAATATAAAAAGGAGATGCGCGCGACCGGTTTTCCTCGCGGCAGGTAAAGGTGCTTCAACTCGCAGTCAGGTTCAGGCCAACCTTTCTCAGGGTCAGGCCCGGCCAGCAACTTTTCTTCTCTGCATGTATATTTACACACGTATGTGTATATTTTTGTTTCGGTTTTTGCGGCAGGGCGCTGGGAGAAAAACAAGGCAATTCTTTTCTCTCTCTAGATTTCTTAGGGTATTTTTTACTGCCGTAATTAATATGTGTTTCCAATTCGCCCAATCTCGCAGCAGCTTCTTCAAGGGCGACCAGGTAGGGCAATTTTTCAGCTGGAGATGTATTTTTGCGAATACTGCTTTTCTGGTTTCGCTTAATTGCCTTCTCGGTGTGTGTGTGGCCTCGAACACGCAATTTCAATTTGAAAACAAATCCTACAAGATCATTTTTGATATCTTCATACCCCCATGCATAAGAATAGAATTATCAAAAAAAAAAAAAAAATAAAATAAAATAAAAATATGCCTAAAATTTTATATTTTTTCTATTTCAAACTATGTGTTCACTTTCGGTGCCTCACTCTGTCAAGGACCGCATTATAGCACAATAAAATTTTATCATCCAGTCGCGGGAAGTATTTTTAGAAGATCTGAGCTGAAATTTATCAAAAAACATCAAAGTTTAAGGACCTCCAGAAAATCAATATCCTTCTAGTCCATAAGCTAAAAAAAAACAGGCCATTCAGGTTCGTCACCAAAAGAAGGGTCACTGCTCCTTGAAAACGAGTTTTTCTCAAGCACATCTCATGATGTCACTCGTTTTGGCACTACAGATTGCTATTGTTATTTATTTAGAATAATCAAATAAATGGTTTCTTTGCTCTATGGTTCTTGGAGAATACACGTGTGCGCTCTGCCACATGTAACAATGATAACTTTTTGGTGACATTGGAAAAAAAATGATCTCGACAGGCGAAGGCAATCTTTTTCCACTCCACGCTTGACTGCACCTTGCTTTTTTCTGGATACAAATTACAAATCTTTTTTAATTCATATTTCTAGGATTAATAGGAATTATAGGAAAGTAAACTAAATAAAATCATAATATTGATTTTTCTAAATTTAAAAACATGGGCAATTTTATAAATTCCTGACTTCAAAACAAAATCAGTTATATAAAATATAGGGTTATATATTTTAATTAAAATGCATTTAATTGATTTTACTCCGATATATTTTTAATACTCTTGCAGTGTTTTTCAATAATTATTTATGCACATCACCTGTCCTGTATGACATGAGATTTTTTTCAACACTAACCATGTAACGAGTAATTTGTTTAAGATACATGCTGCTACTTGAATGATTTCATTATGTTGAATGCATGCATTTTTTTTTAACATTTTACATAGCACAAGTTATTTTCATAATGTACAATCCAACAATATATTATAATTTCTTTAAACCAACTAAAATAGAGTTTATAAAGATTTACAGTTTTGAAGTAAACAATATCTACAGATGCTTTGATCGCCCGACACAACAATTTGATCTGCTTTAAACGGGAGGAAAATAATCATGTCTCATTTATAGAAACGTCTCTCAGATCAACTCAAAAAGATCAACATTTTGTATAAGTGTGGAATGATAAATAGATTCGACATCAACGACAAACGGCTAATAGTAATAATTGCTATTCATCCCTGCCAGGCTCAAAGTAAATGGTTCATTGCATTGTGCGCTGCGTGGACAGTTGAATTTACCACGTATTTTGTTCTCTGAACCTGGCAGTTGGTGCACCTAGGATTTAGTCCTCGGGGCTAGTCGAAGCCTGGTCGAGGATGGCTTCGAAAGCGAAAGGTGCAAAACCGTAGCCCTGACCATGGTAGAACTTGCTCTGGAACTCCACCCTGAGAAATAATTACAAATTGTAACTGATTTTAAAAAAATTTTGGGGAAAGTACCAGTGAAGACGCAAAGTGTGAAGGAAAGCAGAAAGTCCTTCCATGAGCACCAAGATGGATACAGTGAGCATTGCCCAGAAGGCAAATATGGCCCACAGGACAATGCCTCCCACCCAGTCGTTGATGGTAAGACCATTCCTCAGCACCATGTTCCATAAAACCTCACTCAATTCTGAAACAAAATGTTTTTATATAAAAATTTACCAAGACTTGTTAGGAAGTTGCTTACGAGCATGAGCAAGTGAAAGGGCCCAGAGTCGAAGGTATGAAGCCGTATGGGACACAGATCCCAAAACGTACTCAATGGTGTGGATACCCTGATGGATAAAAATTTCAGTAATATCCTCCTCCTGATGGGGTGCTTGTGTCTGGGTCTGCTGCATCATCTCCTCATTCTGGTATCCCGCGTCTCCATTTTCAGCAGCCGTGTTGGTGTGGCCAGCATTTGTCAACTAAGATTTTATTTTCATTAATAATTTTCAAATTTTTAACACATTTTGACTAACCGGCTGGTGCTGTTTTTGGGCACGCATAATCATGATGGGTTTGGCCAGCAGCATTATGGGCACACAGAGAAGGGCGATGATGACGAGTAACTTCTGCAGAGCTCCTTGACCAGCAAACATCCAGTCATCGCAAACACTTGGGTTCTTGCTCGACTTGAACAGCACCATGTTGATGAAGGTGATGAGGATGGAAGGTGCACAGTAAGGACCGCTCTTAACGTCTAGTGAGTCGGCGCTATAGCCAACCCACTTGGTGAACATCAGCAAGACCATATACAGGAAGAGGAAGCACATGAAGATGATCTGCGGGATAAACTCACACAAGATGCTCATGCGGTCACGGAAATAGCTAAAAAATTATTTTAGTCAAAGTAAGAAAAGATCCATTGATAAAAGTAATTACGTGTGATTCCAAAGGCTCAGCAGCACACCAAAAAGCATGTGGAAAACGCCAAAGATGATGGAGATCTTCATCTTGTAAGAGTTCAAAAAGATGATCTTGTTTTCAGCCACCTAGTTTTAATTACAATTTGTTTATTTGCAAATCGCTTTAAATTAATATGAGAAATAACAAACCTGCCAAATGGGATCCAGTCCAAAGGGATACGGGTACTTCAAATAAGCTGTCGAGTTTGGATCGAGCTGAAGGTCTTTGTTAGCCATCAAAGTCGACTCATCGTAATTGTTTTGCCAATTGGACCCGAATATGTTTAAAGATTTGGAGAACACGTCGTTATATATCAGACCAGTGTACATTGAGAAAAGGCCCATCAATAAAATGATGTAGCGTCCACCAAAGAAGATGGTCCAGACCTATTCAAGTTTGATGATATATCAAGGCTTTAATAATTTCAACAAAATTTACGTCAGATTGAATCTTCTTAGCAGCGAGTGGTTTCTCCTTAAGCACCAGATATCCTCCGAAACAAGCCATAAGCGCGCCATGTCCCAAATCGCCAAACATCACAGCAAAAAGGAATGGGAAAGTAATGATGGTGTACGGGGCTAAAAATTATTTGTTAGGAAAAAAAATGAATACAAAAAATGATATTTTTATTACCTGGATTAGCCTCCCTGTAGCTGGCAACACCATAAGCATTGACCAAATGCTGGAAACCGCTGGTGAACTTGTTGGTGCGGTTATAAGTTGGTGGATTTTCAAAGGTCTCCATTCTATTTAGAATGGGTGGCACAGAGCTTCCACTCCTCTCCTACAATTAGAATTAATTTGCGTAAATTAAAAACTTTTTAAGCTATCTTAAACAAACCGTTCCACGACGAAGAGCAAGTTGAATGGTCTCCAGGTCCAACGAAGGCACCCAGCACTCAGCAATGAGACACTTCTGGGTCACATCCAAGTTGAACAAATTCAGAGTGTGGTAGATGGCCTTAATCTTGCGCACCTTGATGAACCAGTTGGTGATGTTCTTAGCAGCTGCGGCCAGCACCTGAACAATGTGAAATTTAATACTTTAGAATCTTAATAAACTCATTGAATTACCCTGTGCCTGTGATCTTGGGTTTGGCCGAGGACGGTGTTCAAATCCTCAATGCGGGTCATCACGCCCATGGCCATTTCCCTCCTGTCAGAAGGCGCCTCAGGGCAAGGGTAGAGGGTGGCCCGGAAACCCTCGCAGATCTTCTTGACACGCGACTTCAGCTGGTCTCCTTGGAAGAAAATGATGAAGACGCTCTTGTGCACTTGGTCACTCTGAATATAGGGAAGAATTAGAAATTTCATTTGGAAAATAAAAGTTTTGTCAATTACGGTGGTCGGGTCTTCAAGAGGAGTTTCGATTTCAGCCTGTCGGAGGAAAACATTGCCCCTGCAAGCTCGCCACAGCATCCTCTCAAAGGCAGGGATCCTCTCGCGCAGAATCACTCCAGCGACAAACCTACCCGGCAAGTCTCAAATTAGCTCCGTTCACTTTGTTTTTTTATGACAAAATTGAAATATAAAGAGGTTTCGAATTAAACGGAAGAAATACACATGGGAGTCTATATTCATTAGGTCTTACTTGGCGTTACACCTCAGCAATATGTCCCTGCATTTCAATTTTGAATTTTAATAAAGTACAATTAAGTGCGATCGGCTCACAAGGTCCGACTTGAAAGTGTGGCGCAGAGCGATAGTTACCCAAGTTGGATAGGACCAGCAGTCTGCCGTGCAATCGAGTCATCCGGAATGAGGGCGCGGGTCATACTCTCGGTAGCGCTCGAGCCACCCTCCTGCTGCAATCACCCCCGCCAAATTACCAATTTTTTGTTTGACTTTATACAATGCTAATTTATTTTAAATAAAATTCTTGTGTATGTTCATATCTTGCACTTAAATTTTGGAAAGTTTCTTTTTTAGATGAAGGAAGACATTTCAAAATTAACTGGTTTAAAAATCAACTTAGGAAAAATTATTTTCTCCACTTTCACAAGTTCAATTTATTATTCAAACCAGTTTTTTTTTCTGGAAATGTGATAGAAAATTTGCGGACAAGATGCATAGCTTAGCTTGCAAGCTGTGCAGGCCAAACACTAGGTGTCTAGCTTTAAGGGTAGCAGAAGTGCATTGAGAAAAATGTGATAAAAGTAAAAAATGGCAAAAGATGGAAAATTAGTGCATGCCGTGCCTTTTTGTACAAGTTTGTAAATTTGTAAGCGAATATGTGTATAATTTATTTCGGTGTGAGGAATATTTATTATGATTTCACTTTTCTTCATTGCTTCTTCAATCTTGACGATGAAACAAAAGAGTTAATAGATACAGTCCCCCAACCTTCATGTTAATTTAACAACAAAATAATTAGCCACCCTTACCGCCTTACCAGTTAAGACCATAATGAATATAGCCACCTCAACCACAGAGGTTAATTGACAACATAAATAAATATAAATAACAACAAACGACGAACAAAATGAAACCTTAGTAATGTGGAGTTGATTGGTCAAGGTTGCAAAATTTAGCAGTTTAATATTCATTTTTAAATTCTGTATAATAATTTACGCTTCAAATTTGAATTTAAATTAAAAATGGCATTGTAAAATGATTTATTTAATCAAGTAAAAATAAAAAAATTATTCATATTTCAGTTGGTTATTATCAGCAGAAGTTAAATTTTGCAACCTTGTGAAAAGAAGAGCCCTGAGGGTTAGAATTACCCTAGCTTAAGAGTCTGCCCACCAGCCCTGAGTCCTTCCTCTCCTAGCAGGGTGACTTGTTCGTCCTGAGAGCTGGGGTCAGCCATCTGTGGAGGCAGGCCAAACTCAGCCTGTGTCACAGACATACACTCAATACAGAAGGTCCACAATTCCACTTTTCGTCCGACAACTTTTTCCGTCAAATAATAAGAAACTCTACTTAATTGTATGTACAGTGGCGTGCTCTTTTTTTCAAGAGGCACTTTCTCCACTAAAAACATTTTCAATGATTTGTTGTTAAATTATAAAATTGCTGGTGCTATTTCGAAATAAATCTGGGAAGAAAATCGAAAATAAAGACTATGATGAAAAGTAAATCAAGATCTAAGCTTAAAATCAACCAATAAATGTGCAAGCAAAATGCAATTAAGTAAAACTCATGCAAATTAAAATTTAAAAATAAATCATAGGTCCGAAGGGAACAGAGTCAAAAAGTGGCATTGTAGCAGACCTCTGTGGCGCCATTCACTTAGCAGCTCAAATATTATGTTAGAACTTAGAAAGCTGTGTGGAGAAATAACGGGTTAGTTTTTTTATTCCAGACTGCACAAACAAATTGGTTTTCAGGTATTATTGTCTTGCACGCACATGGTATCAGGTGATTAAATTCATGTCATGTTATAACATTGTCGATAAATCATCTCTGATGATTGCAATGAGTGATTCAGCAATGGATGAAAAATGTTGTTTTGTTAAGTGCGCTTATCTAGATCTAAAAGTAGATGGGGGCTAATCTTGCTACGTTTTGGCGAACAATAAAAAAGCTGTAGAGTTTGTGCAATCCTTACCAGTCAGTGTGAGTCATCACAAAATGCATTCATATTAATTTAAAAGTTAAAATGAGCCCACAATACAAATAAAAACAGCAGTAGTTGCATCCAAAGACACGTTAGTCAAAAGTGTTAAAGTCAAAAGCCAGTCCCAATAATACGTTGGAAGAAAGTGCAAAATTTTGAAATTTATATAAAATATTTTGCTGGCTGCGATCAATCAAATTCTATAAAGCAGCTCAGCATTGCTTTTTTTATACTTATTAATGTAAATATTTTTGCAATCATATTTAAATTAAAATAAGCAATCATACCTCGTCGAAGAAAACTTGTGTCTTCCGCAGGATATGCTTCAGTTCAGTCAGCTCGAGGAAGTTTCTTTTCAGAGCCTCGGCATTTTGATTGACTTCTCTGAGCTCGTTTTCCAACTTTTCAAAAGTTGCCTGATGAAATTAATTTTTTTTTTAGAAATTATTCCCAAATTAATGGATTTTTTTTTATTAAATCTGTGGTATTTAATTAATTTAATGACCTCCAGATCGATCATCTCCCTCGGCTGTGGAGCCTCAGGGCTCTCGCCGGTGTCAAGCATTGGAATTCCATCCTTGCGAATTTCCTTCTCCAAGTAGCGCAGTTTTCGCTCCATCTCGTCGCATCGTCGAACCTCATTGACGAATTTGCGTTGGAAAGCATTCACGTCAGGATTCAACTGCAAATCACATGATGAATTTAAGATTTATGAAGTGAATAATAAACATTAAATGGAAATGTATAATGGTGGGTGACGAAAATACCCTGCGGCAATTTTGGCTAAAATTATTTATTTTCCGGAATTTTTTTATTCAATCTTTGAATTGAGATCAATATTACTCGAGGATTGCAAAAACCCTTATGGGATAAAGCCAATTTAATTGTTTCTTAGAAAAATTTAGACACATATGGACAATTTGGGAGGTCCTTTTTACTCAGGGTCTCCCTGCGCTCAATTCAAGGTGCCCCTTTTCGTCGGCTATTTTCTCCAAGCAAAAGACAAGTAAAATGGCATATTTTTATAAAAAATTGGCAACTTTCAAGCAAACTGCAGGGTTATAAAAAGAAATAGAGGCCAATTTGACAGCTCAAAGGGTCGGTCGGCACGATTCGGGGCGGCATATGCAGAGATAAGGGGCTGCGGGTTGACATACGTCTCGAAACTGGACGAGTCCGAGCTCTCCGAGTTCGGACACGCAGGCGTAGGCGGCTTCGCTCTGCAGGAACAATTGGCACAGGGCCATCTCCTCGCTGCGGAACAACGAGCCCATCTTGACCGCCCTTTAGGTCCTCTCTTTTCCAGGAAAACTGTCCAAAATTCGACCCTTTTCAGAACACCGTCATGTGATTTTTCAGAGCTATCGATTTGACTAACAGCGCTATTGACCGCGGTGGCCAACGTCGGAATTATAGCTTTGTGCCAATTTTTTGCGTGTTTAGGCGGGAAATTTTGAATTTTGCAGAATATGATAAGACATGTTGAACACTATTTTGATATTTATTTCGATTTATTTTCCCAATAAAATTGGCGGAGCTTTAATATCTTGTGATTTTCTTTTGTAATTCAAAATTAAAATAATTAGTATTATTCGGTATTATTTAATTAAAACCCTTCATATTGTGCGCATAGGCGGTTTACAAAAATAATCAAAAGAAAGCAAAATATTAAAGAAAAATAAATTTTTTCTCGATTCTTAAATGACAATTAATACCAGTACAATACAAATAGTTAAATTATTTCAACTTAAAATTAATAAGGGCGAAACAGGCAATCAGTTTTAGGCAAATTTTTGTTACTTACAATATTAAAATCCATTACAACACAACAAATAATTCAGTTCAAATTTTATTTATACAAATCTGAACATCTTTTCAGGCATAAAAATAAATTTTTAATCTGACGGACGACGGACCATTCTAGAATATGTTAAATGAAAATACTTTAAAATCCCAAGTTTCCTTCATATTATTAATGACAAAACTTCTGCTGTTTCCACTGTTTTTACAACAACCTCATGTTTCCCTCTCCTCATCATCACTGTGTCCTTCACCACTTCTGATTTGATTTAGTGCCTTTTCAAGAGAGAAGGGTTGGTTGAACTTTTTCAATACCTTCACCAAACCTGGATTTTCTACAAAATTGGCACCGGATTTGCTCACTATCATCTTGACCAACATGTAAAGAATCTGCAGTCTCATACACTTCTTATCATACTTTTTGGCGAAGCTGGAAAAAATTAATTTTATTTTGATTTATTCAAAATTACAATTATTAAGTATTAAGCATACTCATCAAGAGAGAAGATATCCTGTCTGATTCCATTATGCAATGCACTCGCATCTCCGCTCAGTTTTTCTTGCATAGCCACCGAAACATCTCGATACTTCCTGTCTATTTCCCTTTTCTCATCTGCTACCTTAGAATACTTTTCATCCAATTCTGTGATTTGAGTCGACAGACCAGCCAAAATGTTGAGGGACTCCATAATATCTCTGCAGCGAAACATAATTAAATTTTTATAATCTAAATATTTTTATAATATACTTATAAACCACGCAATCAAGTTGACTATTTCTGTCGGGTGTGGGATGGATGTTGACGAGCTTGTTGATTACTTGGCCGTAAACTGCTGTTTTGACAAAACCTTGCTCAAGGACAGGAATCGTCGCCTGCCTCAACAGGGTCCTCTCGTCCTCAACCTGCCTGGGATCATGTCTGGTTGCTAAAACGATCATAATTCCAAAATTAAATTGATTTTTTTAATTTTTTATTTCTTATAAATAAACCTCTTCTATTTTTGTGGGCTTCGAGTTTTGATGAGAGGGCATTGCGTTTTGCTATCGAAATGTTGCAGGACAATTCGTATTCTTTGGCAATGCTGTAGTATAAGTCGACGTCTTTTTCATCGTCGTCACTCAAGTCGATAACCTCTGGTTCGTTCTGTGCGCTAAAATAAGCATGATTACATATAATAACAATGAAAACAAAAATAAAAGATTGATGTTTTGTAAACCTTGGTTTGTTGGGAATTTATGAATTTAATATTTATCATAAATGATACTTACTCTGCGTCCTCTTCATCCATATTTAAAAAATGTATTAAAAATGGATACAAAAATTTTCTCTCATGGACAGGACAAAATTTTGAAGCCTAAATTAAACAAAATAACAAATCAAACTGGTCAACAACAATAACAACATCTGACAGAAGCGGAGGCGGGAAAATAAAGACCAGCAACAGCAAAGCTGCCAACATGAAATGAAGCTCAAATGAAGCTTAACCCACTGTCGCCAACAGCTAAGAATTATTCTCTACATAATGATTTTTTTACATAAATTTTTTTTACTCTACTGTATTGGTCATTTGATATATTTTCATTTCATCTATCTAAAATATATATAGCAAATACCAAGTAATAATAAACTGATATTTATTTTCAGGCAATAATAATGGTTATTATTGACGAAATTCTCACAACTCCTCAATATAGATTTTGTGTCAATTTCTAGAGCTCAATAATACATTCTTTTCTTTTTAATTTAATGAAAATCTGCGCCATTAACAAAAACTCAACACTTGAACTAAAATAAAATTACAACACATTTATAGAATCATAATTAATATGTATGGAATCAAAAACACATTTACACTGACGACACGTTTGACAAAGGGGCAGGCACAAATTCCTGGCCAAGTAAACAGTTTGCAGTGCACACCTGAATCAGACCTTTCAATCAACCAAATTTCAAGAAACATTCCTCAACTGCACTTTTCGCATGACACATTCCAGAACGTATTTATTTTCAAATAGAATTTAGGTGATTTCGGATAGAGAAATTTTTCTCTAACTTTGGGTCGCTCTCAAGAAAGCTTTATTCGACCGAAAATAGTTAAATTTGAGATAGAAACATTTCTTGTGAAGCAGATGTCCAAATTAATAAATTTGGAAAAGAAAATAATAAAACTGACGTTCAGAACAAATAAATTAAAATTTAGTTTAATTGGGAGTACGGGCGGCGCTCGGTGAAGAAATTGCGCAGGATGAGCACCTGGCCGATGGCGCAAAAAACCACAGCGACAGTCTCACAAACAGACCAGGTTAGCACGCGAGCGTTCAAGTCCTCGGCCCGCTTTCGACCCTGCGACTCTCGTAACCGGTGGTGTGTCTGGTAGTCGGCAATGCTGTTCAGACTTTTGTGAATCTCCTGCGCTGAGGATTCCATCTAGAAATGCAGAATGATTTAGAAGTAAATTTTTTAAGAAACATCTGAAACTTAGAAAAAATGGATAGAAATAGCAAAATCTGTTGTTGAAAGGTTTATTAAAGAAGAGATCATTTCTATGAAAATTTCTTTGAATTTTCATATCATTATTTTCAACTTTTCATAATTCCTTTTTAAAACATTCAAATTTGAAAGAAAAAAAAATCAGAATGGTCTTATTTCAAAGGCGCAATGTATAAAAAATGTCATATTTTTAAAATTTATAAGCAAAATACAAAGTTCTAAATAAATCTTGTATTTTAAATAATAAAAAAAAATAGCTCAAAAAATAATAATGCCAAATATAAGCCCAAAAACTGATCATAGCTTTTCATTGAAAAATTTTATATAAACTTATTTAAGGATTTATTATACTGTTTCATTTTATCCCTTGATATACCTGTGTAATGACTGTGGCGTGCTCGCCAACTCCAGGTAGAGCAGGCTCGTCTCCGACTGAAAAGTCCATGTAGACGAGCTTGTGGCTGAAGGTGGAAAACTCGTTGCTGAAGCAGGCCGAGTACACACCGTCCATGGGGGCGGTGAATGTGTGACTGTCAAACTGCGTCTTCACCTTTCGATAGAGGACCTCTTTGTTTGGCGCCTCTAGAATTATGTCCACGTCATAGTGACCACCAGTCACCACCTAAAATTGCCAAAAATTAATATTTTTTTAAAAAAATAGGTTACAAATCTTTTGAACTATATAACTGAGGTTTGAAAAAGTAGTGTTTTATATGCAATAAAATTTGTTTAGTAGAGGATTTTTTTATACAAATCCAAATAATAAAAATTTCAGGACTGATTCGCACTTTCAACAGCAGTTTGCAAAAAAAAAAAAAAATGAGGGCGTGCCGAAATATTACAAAATTTTGATTTTTGGGACTCTGGCTTTCGATCTGCATTCCTATATTATACTCAAAACGATTAAAGAATATTTTAAAATTTTCGTTTTAACATAAATTTAATCTTTGGCCTGCAAACCTGGAATTCTAAAGTTGCCGTGGTGTTTTTGGTGATCTCCTGGAAAAAGCACTCTTTGGCGTTGTCTGGCAATTCGAAAGTGAGTTCGACCGCCTCCGCCACCGCCGCCAGCAGCCCGAATAGCAGGGCCGCCCCCAGCACGGCCTCCGAAACGCGTCCGCCCCACCGCATGCCTCACCAGCACATTATATTCGTAGAATTCGGCTGCCGAATCGGCAGAGAAGTTTTTGTTTATCGGCTGGACGTGGCCGGAAAATGGGTGACGTCATGAAAGGGGGCGTGTCACTCTTTTTTCAAAAGCAGGCGGCGTCTCCCATGCATTTTTAAAATGCAATGGCGCGAGGGAAAAATACACGATGACTATATACGTGACACGTGCCATTCTATATTGTTAAAGATTAAAAATGCGTGTCAATTGAGCAAGAAAATCAAAAGTCTGTCACTTAATTAAAGCCTGCAAACGATCCATTACGATTTTAACCTTAATCATTCTATCTAGATCTATAACCTCCGTTTAATTCTCAGTGTCACACAACATTTCAATCGCATAAATCACTTACTCACCTACAATGTCACCTGCAATTTCAAACTGCAGTATTAAATATGAATTGATACAATACATGTAAAAAAAGATTTAGTTTCTTAAAAATTTTTAATAATTAAAAGTTACAGCAGCTTCTATCAGGAATCAATTGTTATGTTGTAAATTTGCCCGTCAAAATTTTTCAACCAAGACCTGACCCCCATATAATGTGTTCTAAAGAGCCTAAAGAGGACAGGAAATTGAACTATTAATTCTGCTGCTATTCTGTAGAAAATTAAAAGAGTCAAATTATAAATGATCAAGATGTTTAATAGCAAACTGTTTGATACACAAACTTTTATCAATTAAAAGATAAATAACTAGAAAATTTTCTTTAAATATTTTCTAAAAAAGAAAAAAGGTCAACTTGAATTATATTTAATTTATTCATTTTTATAATTTTTATTTCGTGTTTTTTCTAAACAATTTTAATTCATTTTGTTAATAATATAGCAAAAAAATTTAAATTTTATGTGAATAAGTTTGATTACATAATTTAAACAAACCATATTAATTATTTTTTTAATTTTAAAATTTAATTTATAAATTATCATCCAATTAAAACTATTATTTATGAATTGATTATATACATATTATGAAGATTAAATTATTGATCCGAATTCTAAACATCTTATTTATGGTATTATGCGGCTATTTTTTTCGCATTTATGCTTACCAAATCATAAAAAGTAGCACAAAAGACAAAAATGAAACCCTTGATTTAATTATGGGAAAATTTAAATTTTAAATCAAATCAATTTTTTAGAAATATTAATTAAACAAATTTTAACTATTTTTTTTTTGTTTTTGCTTCCAAATTATTCAATAACGGTTTGTAATACCTTAAAAAGTCTCAGTATGCACCCACGTCCAATATTGTAATTAGTAAGTGAAGAATCGCATGCAATGTTTTTGCTCTCTCCGTTTGCGATGAGCGATTGGTGAAATAAAAATTTGATTTCTTTTTTAAAAGTCTGATTAATTCTGTTGCTTATCCTCTTTAGCCAAAAAGCAGCAACACGCCTTTGTAATGCAAATCGACCTGGCATTATTATTTGTCGTTGACAATCAACCATCTCATTACTTATGCACCTGAGTCTGAACTAAATAATGAACTCATACGGGGGCACGACGCGGCCATTAGCGTAAAAGGGTCGTTGCTCGGTTCTGCAAAATCTAATACAATATGCAGCTGCATGAAGAAGTGAATTTATGCAAAAGGTCGCGAGCAGTTTGTATCACTACCCTCGGTGATATATCACAAACTGCACTTGTACTTTTATAATTCGGTGGAGAAATAGAGAAAAAATAAATAAATGCAAGGCAGTGCGCGAGAACAATGCGCCGCGGTATATAAGTGCAAGAAAGTTTGTATCCTAGACACAGTTTCACGCTGATCAGCAGTTAGTTCCACGTTGGACCAAAGTCACGACCGCTGCATATTGTTAACCCACTTGCAATTTCACGGTAAGGTCCGTCCGTAAAATCGGCAGAATAAGTAGTTAATGCGCTGCTATCTCCTAAAATGACCTTCATTAGATTTAATTATTTTTCCATTAACTAGTTTGTTTGTTTTAAATTAATTTTGCTCTGCTAACTTTTTTGATGAAATAATTTCATTTGAGTTGCATAAAATCATTCAAGATCACCGGAATGATGCGAAATAGAGATCCAGTTTTGTTCTTTATTTGTTGTCATTGAAGGACATTTATCAAGAAATCTTTTTTTTCCATTTGCAAAGTAAAATTAAATTTTCAAAAATTATTCAAGTATTGGATTTTCTCAAAATTCGTGTAACTTTTATTTTTGAAAAAGTTTTTCAGCGCAATATCATTTTTTCCTAAACTGGAGCGACCGAAGTTTATGCCTTTGAAGCAGTTACATAATTATGGTCTGAGCTGTGATATAATTTTATCTATCACTTCGTGAAACCTGTTGACAAATAACACCTTGCATCGCGATCCCTGGTAGGTGTTTGCAAACCCTGAGTGTCTCTCTCGTCTTCAGCAAAAGAGACCTCCCGAGGCTTATCAACGAACTCACAGCAGGATCACTTACTCAGTTTCTGTTCTCGAAACAATAATTCTTCTTTGTCTATTTTAAAAGAAATATTTGTTTGTGCAAAATCGGGGGTATATATAAGGAAGTGGACAGGTCGTGAGCCGCTTCATTTGCGCCCAAGTTTCAGCCACACGCTCCGAGTGCTCCGAGTCTTTCCATCTGACCGCCTCAAGGCCCTGCTCTCGACCATCCGGACACAACCAGTGAAGGTCTGACTTCACTTGCTTGTTGGCTTGACCCGGCCCCTGAACACAATACTAAAGAAATCGCAAGCCGCCGCTCCCGTCCCGCGTTTGATTCTTTCGCTCATTCGTCGTCTGTACTTGTTGCAGAAAGGACCTTCCATTCACAAAGAAAACTTCTTGGGCCAATTCATTCAGAATGAGCGACCGAAGCCGGTACTCAGCAATCCGGATAGCCACACTTGGTCTCCTCTTCTTTGTCTTCTGTGCAGGTAATTTTTTTTAATCAATAAACAGAATAAACTGAAATTTTAATAAAATTTTATTTTAAATTATTAAATTTTTGATAATTTAAAAATTAATTAATTGAGATAGCAATTTTTGAAGATATGCAACATAAATGTTTCATGTTTCAATGCCACGTATAAATTTTATGCATTTTATGCTCCATAAAATAATTAGTTGTAATTATTTATCAGTTTCATTTTTCAAAACTGCTTGCTTTAATTTTACAAATAATTTTTAAGAACAGTAAAATTGAAAACAACAAATAACAATATAATGCAAATACATTTTAATTATACTCTTTAGAAAGGTAAGATAAATGACTAATATTGTAAAAATTATAAATTTATTACATTAAAAACAATCATATATTAAAAAAATAGTTAAAATTGGTATTTTTAAATTTATGGGTAATTATTTTTTTTCTTTTAGTTATTTTATTTTTTAATACAGAATTTTCCATCATTTTTAATTTACATCTCATTAATTTTAAATCTCGCACTTAACAGAATGAAATAATTGAATTTAATGTAAATGGATAATATCTCAGTGAACGTGCATGAAGGAAGACCTCCATTTAATACTTAATATGGCAGAGAGTCAAGGCAGTTCAATTTAATGCTTCAGCAAAGCCAATTATTCGGTGGCAGACAGGCCGTTATGCTTTTTATTTTCTCACCTTTTTTTATAAATAAATTCTTTCCACCTAAAAACGGTTTGATCGAATGTGTGGTGTTGAAAAAAAAATTATACAGCGCGTTTATAAATTTGAGCTTGATGGCCAGGAGTAAGGACTTGTGAGATATTTAGCTGAATTCTTGAAGAACAAATTTTCAACCTTCAGAACCGGAGCAGCAATACTTTATCAAAATAAGCGATTTAAAGCCGACCTAAGCACCTGACTGCCCTTTGACAGCAAGAAACAAGCACGCCCGACCACATAAAACGCGTGTCATATAGTAATGAGCTCCACGTGTGCGTATCTCATTTCCACGGTCAGATTTGAAAATTGACTCAATCGGTTAAATATATTATTGAATTTAACAAAATCCAGATGATTCTGTAGAGGAATGATTCGGGTAGCATTAAAAAGAAAAAGTGAATGTATATAAATTTGAAAGTAAAAGGTATAAATTCTAAAACTGTACACGGAACCAAAAACTTCTTTGCTAAAAATGATTTTTTTAATTATTTCACTTGTTTAAATCCATATATAGCAAACAAGGCTGTTTACTTTTTCCAAAACAAGGAAGTTTCATGCAAGCAATTTTTGACGGAAAACTTATCGCATACACCTGACATAATCTAACCTCTGTCAGTGTGCAAAGAGATGCACTGTCCATGTTTGCGACAAATTCTACAGAAAAATAGCGACTGACACTTGGAAAACCTTTGAGCTGTTTTGTCTCTATTTTAATTCTTTTTTTTATCTTGGTGTTAACTGCGGTTAACAATTTTTCAGAAAAATAGTTTTGATTTTTTTAAGAACTTACTTTTTATGTTAATTTTTTTGTTCAATTTGTTACACATATTTTGCAAATTGGAAAAAAATCAATTTTAATTTTTGAAGGAAAACATCAATAGCAAAAATTGAGCTAAAAATTGCGAGGTATAAAAACATTTTCCTTGCAGAATTGTTGAAAAATCTTCTCCAGAATTTTTATTATCTTGTTGCGTCAATTTGTTCAAATTAGGAGGCTGAAGAAATTAATTTAAAATCATCATTGACTATTTGTACAGCAAGTTTTTTTGTAGCCGGTAGAGCATAAAAGACGTAATTATCTTGGCCCCTGCGCTCGATCTCTCATGAATTGAATTTGCGGAGTTGCACAACATCGGAGAGAGTTATTTTTTTTTTGTTCTTACGTGGCCGTCCGTTCAAATAATATGTGAAGTGTCTGCTGCCGCGTGTTGCACACATTTTTATTTTTAGGGGCCACCAGAAAGAAAGATAATCTAGATTAGCATACGCGCATTTGTCTTGATCACTCTGCTGTGCTCGCGCGCGGCTCCAGATTGGAAACCTGTTGTGCGGCAGGTGAAACTTGACCTCAACAGTGACAATGAAAATCAGATTTACTCCTATCCAATTATGTCACACTGTCGCAAAGAGAATAAAATAATTTAAAACACATTAAACAGAAAAAAACGTCTTAAATTATTAATTAAATTAACTAAAAAAGTGAGGGTGTAGAATTTATTTCTAAATATGTGTGTATATTTTGTAAATTTTCTTCATTGTACAAATATACAAGTAGTAATAACAATAACAATTATTTAATTATTTAAATTATAGCTCATTAAAAATAGCATTTCAATTTATAAAATATATTTATTTAAACTGAGTTAGTCAAACCACATGAAAATCATTTTAAAACGGTAAAAATTTGCGTTAATTTTAACAGGGAGTAAAATTTTAATTAATTTAATCTGATTAATCTTTGAGAATTTTTCATTTGAGTTTGATTGCATTTTTTGTGATTTAAAAATTTTTCCATTGTGTCGTGCAAATAACAAAAATTTAAAAACTAATTATGCATTTTTTTTTTAAACAATTTAATTCATTTTTGTTAAGTAGATGCATCAAGTGAGGAGCCGGTTGTCAGCGTCCCTTCGACTGGCCAGGCTCGTTCTCTTGTGGAGAAATCCGATTCTGACGAATTGACAGGCTATCGAAGGTGGTGGTCTTTACTATGGCCTGTCGCTTCCCCAATCAATCTGCCCGAAGCGGATGACCGGAAAATGCACTACGGATACACCCAGTACAACGGTAAGCTAGTACATTTATTAAGAAATCAAAAGAAAAGGTAAATATTTTGCAACTTCACTATAGCATAAAATAATTTTTTTTGCTACTTAAGTAGTTTACTTTTTGAGTAAGAGTTTAAAATTTGATTAAACCTGGAATTCCTGCTACATCTAGAAATGCATGCTAATTTTATGTAAGAAATTAAGTACAACATTCTAATAGTCCATATTAAAATCAGTTAAAATATATGTTTAAATTATAGAAGTTTTTATTTCCATTAAATGAAATATTTTTCACTTTAATTCTCAACTGTTCTTTAAATTAAGCTTACATATTAATAATAATCTAATTTATATGATTTGTGGTAGCAGAGTTTTAAAATGCATTCAATTCTTATTATAAAATTATTCAAAAATACATAACAAAATAATTGTCTCTCTCGCAACGATGTCACCTTGCTTCCTCACATTTTACAGCCTTTACCGAATGAAACCTTACACACGCTTTTAAAGTGCGCTCTTTGATATTGCACCATAAATTCGGTCATTATTCTCCGGATGAAACCCTCTGCTTACATAAAAATTTAATGCTCTCTGGCAATAAACGGCAGCCCCTTATATAATAAAAATAATAATTTGGTCTAGAGCGCTGCCGAGGGAGTCGATTTCCGCAAAACACCCTTGAAAACGGGCCGGATTTTTTATGTATATACGGGCTGCGGATCGCGTTCCAAACGAGAAAATAATTCGCATTGATTAATATTTTACGAGAGCTGGGAGATCAGATATTGAGAGGAATTCTTCGGTCTCTCGGGGCGCGTGGGTTTATTGAACCGCCGATTGAATGAATGTCACACTCGTGCAGGGGCGATATTATGTCCCAGGGTGACTAGAAAAAATTTTTCGCAAGAGAGACGAATAAATGCCTACGTCGTGAATTCTTAATTGGCCGGTCGCCGCTGATAAAATCTCGCTCCATTCAGTTCCATTGACAGAGAAAGTGAAAGTGAACGCCGCGGATTTTTGGCGAGTAGGTGCGCTGCCGCCAAAGTGTTATCGTCAATGGAAGGCCGGACGGAATATCCAAGCTCAGTTTTGTTAGATTTACGAGGAGATGCAACTGAATTAATTAATTGACGAGACGGCCGTGAGACAATCAATTAATGAGCCCACGTGGCTCCTCTCAAATACGCTCAAATAAAGAAATGGCAATAAATTTTGGCAACTTTATAGCTAGTTTGTCCTTTAGAGGAGAAATATTGGACTTTAATTGAGCATAATAATAATAAATTTAAAGTAAGGCAAAGAATTAAATTCATATGTCAAATTACAGTTCTTTTTACCATCGTTTACTTAGTCCAATCATCTATATTTTTTGGCTGCAGTCATAAATCATGAGCTTTTTTTAAATTAAAATTTAAAAATTAGTCCATGAATTCAAATGTTTTAAAATCATATTAAAATTAACCATATCATTAGGAAAAATTTTAAAAGTCACAATTTTATTCTCTAAATATTAAATTTTTTGTATTAGAATTGATTGTGAAAATCTAAACAAAAATTCATGTTTTCTCAAAAAGTATAAAATAAGTAACAAAATTGAAATTTCTAACGAAGGCCCAAGTGTGTGGTCACTCGAGTACCCGATCTGCGGGGGCAACCACCAGTCACCGATCGATTTGTCCTCTGGAAGCATGCAAAGGGCCACCGGCACTCCTCTCCGCTGGAGCACCACATATTGGCACACCCCGGATAATATGACCCTGAGGAACAGCGGCCACACAGGTAAAGCATTTTTTAAAGTAAAATCAATATTGGCCGAATTGCTTGTTTTAGAACAAATCTCGTGAATTCAATGCATTATGAAAATTAAAATGTTTTACTCTAGAAAAAGAATTTAATCTCTATTTATTTAAAATAGGAATGAATATTATTTATTTTTATTTTCTAACCATTTTAAGTTGTATATTAATTACTAATTATGCTGGAATAACAATTGAATTAAAAATTATTATTTAAAAAACTTATAGCTACATATCAAAATAATTATTACAAGTAAATAAAATAAAATAAAATTGGTCATATTTTTATAGAAATTATTGGAAATATTAAAAATCTTAGAAAATTAAAATACGTTAAAAAGAGCAGAGGTTATATTTGATTGATTGATTTAATTATTTTAAAATAATTTTTTTAAAAATTAGTTGAGCTGCACGCGAACTGGGGTTCTGCAAAAGCGCCTCAGCTGAGCGGTGGCCCGTTGCGGGCTCCGTACACCTTCTGGCAAATGCACTTCCACTGGGGCTCCTCCGACCTTTACGGTTCTGAGCACACGATAAACAACGTCAGCTTCCCCATGGAGGTGCACGCCGTCCACTTCAAGAGCGAGTACGGCAGCGCCAGAAACGCCCTCAGGTACCCTGACGGACTCGCCGTCGTCGGCTTTCTTTACCAGGTATTGTAAAAAAAATAATTAATTAATTTGATACCTAAATTTTTTATAAAAAAATAATACGGGTGCCCGAATTGAAATAAACTTATTTTAAATTTTAATTGATCATTGCTATGCAGATGAGCAACAAGCCGGGCGATTCTTTGGTGAATATAACGCCGTCTCTTCCACAAGTCCGTTCCTCTGGCTCCTCGTCTATGATTCCTCCAATGCCGTTGGCGACCATCCTCAGCCCTCCTCGTGCCTACGCCACCTACCAAGGCTCCCTGACTACCCCACCCTGCAGCGAGGGTGTCACCTGGCTTGTTTCTGGCTACAGCATTCCCGTCTCAGCAGACCAGGTATAATATTTATAAAAGTTCATATTTTTGTTCTAAAATTAATTTCTTACAAATTTAAAAGTTTTACGCTAAGTATTTTTATTTTTAATTATATATATTTTTTATTCTCCTTTTTTTAATCTAAAATTTCTCAAACAAATTTTGGAAAATGAAAACTCTTAGGCTCGGCACCGTTGAGTTCTAAGCGTACAGAACTTAAACAATTAATGAATCCACAATCAATTTTCTAATAATCAAAACGCGAAGAGATCCATCGGAATATTGTTAGATTTTGATTTTTTTTCATTAAAGAAAATGTTGTAAGTAAATAGTTTTATATCGTTTTTTTTTTTTAGTTGGCCGCTTTCCGCTCTTTGACCTCTCACGACGGAGGCATGGGCGACAACTTCAGGCCCGTGCAGCCGCTCAATGGCAGAGAAGTCTTTTACGTTTCTCAGTTCAGTTGAAAATTGAGCTTGAGCTTGGAACAAAAACCTGCAGGTTTCCTCTATTTTGTAAACTATGATCGCTTCAAACAACATGTACATATAATCCTTGCATAAGGTTTAACTTTCCCGTTTGCACGCCTAGATTTCCTGTAAAGTAATTTAAATAAAAATTGATAAATGGGAAGAATGACTGAAGTTGATTCCACTATTATTATTATTATTTATTCTACTCAAGTCTAACAAAAAAAATTTATATTGGAAAAATAATAAATTGTAAAGCTTGGAATTTTATTTCAATATTATTCCAGGCTGAAATTCAAAATTTAAGGAGTTCAATAAAAAATTAAACTCAACATTTGGTTTGTTTTTCTAAATACACACTTTTTAATAACCAAAAAACAAACAATGCGCGTCGTCTGTATATATGCGTGTGGTTGAACCTCTCCTTAATCTCACAGTAATTAATAAAAATAATAAACATTTCCCCGCAAAAATCAATAATTGCCAGCTGCGGGTTTGATATATAAGCAGACGAAAAAATGTGGCGGTACAATTGAATTTGCCTCACCTTTTTGGCTCGCGAGCTTTACGCGGAAAAATTTCCAACTCCCAAGAAGACAATTTACTTGAATGGCGACTTACTTAGTTTTATAGTAGATCGGCGGCGGACAGACTTTACAAAAAAGTATATATGTGTTTGATATAGAGAGTTATACGGTGTAGCTCGTGCCGCGGAAAATCGCGTTTTCAAATTGTATCTCAATCATGGTTTTTCCCTTTAAATATATGTACGAAGAAGTATACTTGGAAGTATTATAATATGCAATTAAGTATAGCAGCTAAAGACTTTTGGTTGTAATTAATTTTATTGAGTTTGCACATTGATTATGTTCACTTGTCGATATACATCATATCTTCCCCGGGTGATTTAATTATTAAATCGGTCGGTGATCTTCGGCTCATTAACGCACCTTACATAGATTTTTTTCTTCAGTAATCACACAAAATTCAACCAATTCCGGTGCGGATTTGTTCCTATTTTTATATAATCATATGCTTCAATTTCTTTACATACGAGTAGAGTAGAAAGAGAGTTTTTTACCGCGAAGGAATTGCTCCGAAAATTCTAAACCTTGTCCTATTACGAAGGAAGAGAAAAATAGGGAGTGTGTGTCGAAAAAGTTCAGGGTCGAGTGGCGTTCGTTTCATTCATATATTTTTGATATCGATTTTATTTTTTCTTCTTTCGGGGATATGGTGGCGGATATGGCGAGTTTGTTATTATTTGTAATTAAGAGAGTCGTGTGTGCATCCGCGGCCCAGTTTGTACTTAGCAAAATATTTGTTTCGTTCGAGTGAGCAACGAGAGAGATACATCGCAAAATTTGGCACTCAACAGCCGACCAGAAAAAAACATGAAACCGCCCGGACTCGACCCCGCGCCCTGGAAAATCGTTTAAATACTGCGTTTAAAACTATATACGATACGTAGTGAGATATTCTTCTTCTTTTTAAATTCTGTTCTATACATTTTTGGCAATGAACTCACTCTCATATTAATTTTTATATATCCTTTGCACGATCAAACACATCTAGAGCGGCGAAATGATAATTTTATTGTTGATTTTGATTTTTGTTCATCAGTTTGGGGCAGCCTGCGCGTCGAAATTCGAAAAAATGCCTGCTGTTTTTTATTATTATTTTTTAACTTTTGCTAACAACTCTGTGTGGTCCAAATCGATTTGTCATGAAAAACTGCCCCAGCGTACAATCATCTCGTTTTATTATTATTTACACCGTTTCTTTACATAATAACTAGGAATTAGAATCACAAAAATTTGCAATCTTTTAAGAGAGACGTTTGCAACTTTTTGTATAATATATAAATTTACATATTTCCAACTCGTCAAATTAAAACCTACTGACCAGAGTATGTACTTTCTTTCCGTATTTGAGTTTTATTCTTCTTTTAGAGACATACATAATTTTTAAATTCATTTTGCTCCCCGCATCTCTTCCCGAGTTCTACGATGAAAGACGTGATTTCTTTGCTGCTTCTCAACCTTCCAACTATTGATGATAATTATAATCAATATCGACCAATCAAACCAACACAGCTTTTTTTTTTGTTGTATTTTGCGTCTGATAAATATGCATTTATTTATAATAATGTAACCTGTGCTGCGTATGTAATAATTTTTATATTCAATAACTAATCATGAAGAGTGATTTTTATACAAATATGAATCATTATTCTGATAAGACCCTGTTTCCTCAAAGGCTATTATTGTTGTGAGATGATGAGTTCATAGTAGTTTCGTGTGTTTGTTGATTATACTCATGCAAAACTCGCGCCTCATAAGCCAATTTGCATAATGATTACACCTGTGTTTATCAGTTGTTTTTTTCATATCACAAAAACGAACAAGAACGCAAAATTCGTGATTGATATACATTTTTCCGAGTCTAGTTTTTAAGATATCATCAGCAGATTGGTTTGATATAAATTCAGATTTTCCTATACGGTATAAGTACAGTAAAGATCCTGAGCCTGCTGATTACAATATTAACTTTTGTGTAATAATATGCATTTTTTTCCGCTTGCCCTTTCGAGTAAATATTTTTTCTTATAATGCAGGTGTGTTTGAATTCATGTAATTATTTTTGTATATACGCGCCTCGTGTCTCCTTCATCTCTTGACTCCACGTTTTGTTGTGTTTGTTTTGGCACACTCAATACAACAGTGAGATTGTCTGCCACAATAAATACGTGTGTGGTACATACGGGATAACGAATAATTTCAACCAACAGCTCGTCCACCTCGGGGTCAAAATTACATTTATAATAATTTGGCATCGCCGATTTTGCTTAATTTGTCTCGTCTAAAAACGCGTTTTGCTCATTTTGGCACAAAAATTAATTGTCTTCTGCGTCGTCGTTACAGGTTTCTTTTGTTTACATGTGTTTTTGTTTCTCTCTCTCTAAATTGATGCAGTAAGAAAAATTCAATTATAAATAACTCTCGTTACACAAACATGTTTGTTATTACACTATAATGTTATTGCTTCATGAAGCACATTAATTATTTTGTCTCCGATCCACAAGATCCGATATTTGATGAGATCACACCCGAATTAGTTCAGCGATTTTCTGCGTTTAAAAAATGTTTCCGGTTTCTCTTTGGTTGAAAAACGCCGGCAATGGTTTGTCAAAAAGAACTCGGAAATTCTCTTTCTCTCTCTATAAATATCAAAATTAAAACTCACAATTCTCAGCGAATCTCTCTAAATATTGCGGGTGAGATGGAAAAGACATCTCAAAACGAGATGATATCACGCCATCTTTAAGCGAATAGGTCGAACTTAAAGCTCGGTTGGAGTGAAGCAGAACTAATGAACTTTCTAAAGCAAGGGAAATTATTATGTGAGTGACACCCATCGCCGGCAGATTTGCCATTTTCAATGGTCCGTGCATGTCTCTGCTGTGATTATCGAATTTTATTTTTTCTTCTTCTACTGCCTGACAAACGAGCGATAAAGGGAGTACGATATCAAAATATTTAGTCCAAATGCGGACCGGAGAAAGGGCGCTTGCTTTGTCAAAATATATTACATACTTGGTATTTTTTTTTTTTTTTTATATAATAATACACTCGAACTGCGGCGCCCAGTCGCTCCAGCCGCCGTGGTAGTTACCCGTATACCCCCATATTATTGGTTTTCATTTTCAACAGAATTTTCCTCTTGCATGTGTGTGATATTTTTTACTTCTTCTTTCAACGTTCTCTCATTTTGACGATTACAAACGCTAAGTGTACAGAGATGTACTCGATATAATTACGTTAATATAGAGATTAACGGCGGTGGGCGCGGGGGCGGAAAAAACCCGACCGCCCGCCACCCGTCCGCCTCCGACACAGCATAAACACTATTTTTCTTTAAACTTTATAATTTATCCTCCACGTGAATTGGCTAAGCTATATAAATAATTAACTCTAAATACTCTTCTTGTCTTTTCGCTTAAGCAGCTTTCCCTCCCCGCCTCGAAAACGACGTCGCGCGAGCTCGCAATTTTTCTCTATATTTTACTTAGTTCATTTAAATTTCGCCACCTGCACAATACACAAAAACCAAGGGGGCCTCGATGTTAGTTCTCCTCCCGCTGCGAACCGCCCCCGGCCCGGAGGCCGACGACGCCCGGCCGCCCCCAGATCACAGCTACAAGAGATTTCTTTCTCTTTTTTAAATTTTTAATAGTATATCGATATAAATTCACATTGAGTATAATTACTGCATTTAATAAAAGTGATTTCTGTTGCTTTGCTATGTTTGATATACCGTAATGTATAATTAATATGTGTGTATATATACGATTTTTTTTTGTCCAATACACTGTGTGACTGTGTGTATTTATATGCATGTGTGTGTCTGTTTTTGTTTTTTATATTTGTTTCCTGCCTGCGTGTTTTACTTTTTTTAAATTTAAATTGTTCAACAACCCTCAGTCGAGATAAAATTGTGTGTTTTTCTGCGCCAGCCAAATCGCGTTACTTTCTTTTTAAGTAGAAGAAGAAGATTTAAATAACCGTGTATACACATATTATCTTGTATAATAATATGCATCTCATTAATTTTCTTTTTAATTTATTGTTCCTATCACCGAGCTCGTCCCGTAAAAATCCCCCCGTATTAAAATACTGCTTCTGTTTGTTTTGTGATTAAATGTTGCTGCTTTTTTCATTATTTTTGTTTTCACCGTGTCTTTTCTTCGCGTCTCTTTGAAATCTGAACACACACATTTTGCCTAGTGCTGACTATTAACAGTGGGGCGACTTGCTTTTGGCACGATAGGGGGGGGGGGACTTCGGGGTGCGGGAGAGTGATATGACGTCATATAAATGTGTGACACGCATAATCAACCGAACGCACTTAAATTCTCATTAGACGATCGCTAACTCTGACAAGTATAAAAACAACAATAAAAAAATCAAGTAAAAAAAGGCGACTAGCTTAATTGCGTTTCACGAGAGAGTACAAAAAGAACGTCTCATTTATATAATTACTTTATATAACCTTATCATTAATCAATATCGCGTATTAATCAATCAATCCATCAACCGTGTCTTTCTCAATTCTTTTCCTAACGAATCGCGTTTCTTGCGTTTTGATTTATCGCCGAACCAAAGAAGAGACTTATTACGAACGTTACACATACATAATAAATCAATTATTATAATCAACCGTATCATATGTGTGAGAGATAGTGAGTGAGAGTATGACTGTGTCTGCGGTACATACTACAATGATATCATATACAACATGTGGGTTTCTTGTCTGCGTATGTGAATCACAATTTTAACACTGCGGTTTATTTCTTTTTTGCTTTTTGATCCCTTCACCGTGTGACTTGTGGACGCACCGCCAAGGGGACGGTGCCGGTGGTGGTTGGTTGTAATAGTGGTGGTGGTTGGGGCGCCCTTCACAAGGGGCCTATTGCTCTGAGTGGAGGTTTGTCTGTCTCTCGGTCTGCTTAGTGGATGGGGGCCTTGACGATGTGGTTGGGCGCGATGTAGTGGTAGCCGGGCAACGCCATGCCGGCCGTCTCCATCGATATCCTGCAACACGCATATCATCAGACCCCACTGGCCCGAGGTAACCCCACAAGGAATGCTCCCCGTTTAGTGACTGCACCCCACTTCCGCCAAACTTGGCCCAAAACTAATCAAAAACTCTATGAATGCTATAAAGGAATATTGAAGATTCTTGTTTTGTGTTGATTTGAAAAGGTTGATGGAACAAAAATTTCATGTGAAGGAGGAAAAAGGCAAAAGGAACTTGCAAAGCTTTGGGAGTTTGAGTCAGCAACTTTCATTCTTGCTTAAATTATAAAAAATTCCTTGAAAAACTCGAGTAGCATTAAATTGAAGTAATATTTTCTAAAATGTTTCATTCTAATTTAAGCAAGAGTTGTTTCCATTCTGGAATTCAATGTCTCTGATTAAAAACAGCCTGCAATAAAAGAGTTTTCCAGCAAACAGAGACCAAGTGGAGCGGAAATAGAACGCCAACATCACGGGGCCCTTTCTTGTTAGCTTGAAGCAAATCTAAATCTACTCAGATTCAGCCTTAAATATCTATCTAGTTATAAGTTTTTGTCAATCAAGTCAACACAAGTGTATGAATTATAACGACTACTTACTTTGAAATTCATTTCTCTTCCAGTTTAAAAACTCTCGGGGAATGATTTAATTTTTTTTATATACTTTCTAATCGGGCAGTGGGTAAATAAAAGAGGCAGTTTTGACGCAGTACAACATCTATTTTTCTCATGTTGAACAAGATCTTTTTTGGTTCACTTTTTCCATTCGTTTTAATATAAATTAACGTTAATCTTAAATTAAAAATACTTTCTGGAGTCTTATCCAAGAGGCTAACAACACAAACTCGATTCTAGTAAAAAAGACGCAAGCCAGACCAAAGCGTCTGGAATATTTTCAAAGTTTAATCGACATCAAAATGAAAATATTTCAAATAAATAACTAGTTCATACTTAATCCAAAAAAACAACATGCGCTCGCTCTTGATTTCTTTTTTCTTAATAGCTACACACTCAAATCACCACCGCTTAATCGTGTTTCAACTCGTTACAAAGAGAGATTTCAACGGTCGAATGAAAAAAAGGAGGAAATTATCAAATTGATCCCTATAAAAGTGTGATGCAAAAACTTGTGATGATCTGGCAATAAAAATTTGCATTTTACAAATATCAAACAACTACCTCGTCAGAAAAATGTACGGGGGAAGAAGAAAGTACCCTATATGCGATTCCATAAACTTTTTCTTTCTCTTCAATTAGATTTATAATAATTAGATAGAGAAAATTGATTGATATGAATTTCATTTTAGACATGCGCCCAAGACAAAAATACTTCTTTCTCTTTTTTGGCATCTTGTTATATAATAAATAGTAGTTGTTGAAAAACTAACTGATATCAAGTAGATATTTTTTTTTTGTCATAATTGTCTGAGATTATTGCCTGGCTGACTAACAAGGAGAAGAACAGGGAACACGTTTCACTTTCTTACTATTTGCGCGCGCATCATAAATCCATTCAAAAACTGACTCTTTCCCACTTGCTAAGTAGTTAATAAGTTTCATATTAAATACAACAAAACTGTCATTTTTCTCTAATATCAAGTCTCAGGGTGGTCGCCCAGAATTCTGCTGACAAACGAACAATATAAAAAAAAAACCAAAAGCACGCACCTCCCGGTTGGCACAAAATTCAGAAAGTGGACACAACGAAACAAAGGAAATTTCTGGAATGAGAGCTTTCTCGCGAGCCGCGTACTTCAATATATACGCGAAAAAATTAACCAAAAACTGGAAGGTAAGCAGGGGTGCCAACAAAAGGGTGCATCGTTTTGAACTTTCTCAAAGGATATAGGATGGAAATTTTATATAATATAAAAAAATACTAATGCATGTAAAAAAAGGGGAGAAAACAGAATTCTAGGCGAGCCGTCTGTCTGCTGCTCCCGGCTGGTCCGAGGGTGGATGGGGGTGTGTTCTACAGCTAGAAGAGTGTGGGGGGTGGCTGTCGCTGCAGGGGCGAGTAGCTGCCAGAGGGAGAGCCCAAAATTGAGAAGAACTAGGATCCAGGTCCAGGAGCAGGAGGTGGATTAGTAGGGCGCGAACTTGCTGCGACCGTCTTGCTTGGCCATCTTGGAGGCGGCGCCGCCGGCGCCCGAGGAGGCGCTGGCGCCGCCGGGCGGCGCCCTCACTTTGGGCTGGTAGTTCTTGTGGCTGCGGTGCACGCCGGTGGTCTGCACAGGCTGCGACGAGCCCGGCGCCAGCAGCTCCGAGAGGCCGCCCAGCGCCGACAGGCTGGCCAGGCCCCCGAGTGCCCCCAGCGCCCCCGGCTTGGTCAGCAGCTGCGCCAGCGGGATGGCTGCATTGGCCAGAGGTGTTGAGGTGGTTGTGTTGGAGGAGCCCGAGGAGGAGCTCTGGGGGCCGGCCGCGCCGCCGCCGCCCCCGCCGGAAGGATTCGGGTTTTTTTGGGCCTCAAGGTTAGCTTTCTGCAGTTCGATGCTAGGACAAGAACGGGGAAAGGTGAGAGTTTGAAAGGTATGCGCAAACACAGTGACTGTGTGTGTCATTTGTGAGAGGGAGAAGCGGGGTGGTTCAGTTCAGTGCACGCAACAGGATCAGAAGGGGTCTCGGGGGATCAACACAGCATTCAAACAGCCCCGAGCAGCCACTTTGAATTTCTCCTTCCTCGCCGGTCGTTCTCGTAAATTTTCTTTTTGTTTGTTTCGAAATCAAAATTTTGCGTGATAAAGGGAAGAGTTTATGCAAAGTGGAGGCTCGGGGCGAGGATCAAGGAAGTCACAAGCAAAGGCAGGGCCCTCAAGACAAGGAAAATATTAGGATTTTTAAATGAAGAGTAAATATCGGGAGCCTGTCATTGTAATTTTCAAGGTGGTCAGGATGTTGAAAAAAAATATTTTTAATCAATAGTTATTTTTATAATATCAAATATTATGCAACAGAAACTTTTAATTTATTCAAAAACGAATATTAATGATTGAATTTTTATTACAATAAAATTTAAATTCTTATTACCGTGTAATTTCAAATCGATCTCCGCTAATCGCATCTGACTTGTAATTTTAATGTTGCATACAGAAAAATAAACCTTAATTTTTTTTGTCTTTCTATTTCAAAGCCACCTTGAAATTCGTGATATTTTTGCAGTCAGCAGAGAGCATAGCCGGAAGCGTTTTGAAATTTAGAACAAAAAATGCGGGTCAAAGCCGCTCTCTTTGAAAGTGTTACTCTTACTGAGCTCGTCGGAATGAAAAATTCATCAAAATTCACCGGCGGCAAATTAAAAGAGCCTCTTTTGTCCAAACTTCTCTCGGCATTGTTGCGTCTGGAGACAATAAAAAACGGCCTGAGCCGCCTCCAGACGAGTGTATTATTTTCTTTTTTTCTTTCCCGAGAAGACGGTCCCCGGCGGCGGTGCGCTGAGGAGCCGCCTCCGAGAGAATGCAGCGGGACAAAAACGAGGTAGAAAAGTTTGCGTGTGGGTGGTAAGGGGGGTTCGTTTTTTTCGGAGGGCGCAGGATGCGGAGGATTGGGCTGGGAGGCCCAGGGGAAACTGCAGATTCAAGACAGAAAGAGCGACGGGATAATTCTCACTACGGAATGAAGATAAAGAGAGAGAGAAAGACTCTTGACCAAATAAAAGAGTGGTGTCAACAGAGTAGGGGGTGGCGAGGGGTTAAAAAGATAGAGAGAAATAGAAGAGAGAGTAAAGACGAAAAGAGAGAGAAAGAAAGGTTTAGCAGCAGCAGATCTCGTTACCTGGCACCCTGACGCTAGGGCAGGTTGGTTTTTTGGTACTCACCTCATGTTGATGAGGTACTGCGCCAGGGCCACTGCTTCCGGGTTGCCTGTGATGGTGATGGTGCGGTCCGAGTTGGCACCCTCGCCACGCTCTTCGCAATTTGAAATGCGTATCATTGCACCGCTGATTTGCCTGTTGATTTCATAATAAAATTAATATTTCAGCAAATAAAAAAATAAAATTAAAAATGGGGTTTAAAAGAGATTAAAAATGATTTAATTAAATAAAGTTTGCAAGTTTGTTTTTATATTTAAATTTATATGTGCCCTTTGCAAAATTAGGCAATCCGGCCTACTTAAATGTCATGCAGGTTGCATAAATTTTGAAATAAATCTATCATGGATAATTTTAAAAAATTCTCCCATTCTTTATGATAACATTTTAGTTTCTTCCTTTCAGTCTGCTTTCAGTAATGGAGAAAATAAATCAAATTACTATAGAGTAATATGTGAGACGGTTGTAAACAGATATTTCTCATAAATCAATAAGAAAGGAAATTTGATCTTTTATTTAAAAGGCCAAAGTAAAAGCCCTAAATAATGGATGTGTACTACTTTTTCAAGAGTTGCGATAGTACGAGACCTAGAAATAGCTCGCGGAAAGTGAGTTTTTATTTACAACACACACAGCGCTGCAAAAGTATATCTTTGCAAAATTTATGCGCCTTTCAAGCGAAACTTGGTCCTCTTTCTTTGCCAGCCGCCAAAGTGCTGTGATCAAACATCATACGAAAACATTTTCCTCCTCCTCCCATGCATGACATTTCTCTCTCTGCAGAGCAAGAGACATATTTCAATCGCCATACATAGTAGTGTAGTGGCGGAGGAAAGAGAGAAAAAATTGGTACACAGTGGGGTGAGATTGCAAGTGTACACATTTCTCTGAGGGAAAAATTCTCCGACAAAAAGAAGGGGCCGTCACAAAGAAAGAAAAGGTCTTTTCTGTCGGCGAACAAATGAGCAAGCCAAACTGTCATCTAGTGCGCCGAGCCAACAATAAAGCAGGCAGCAAATCAATATGCACAAGAGACTTGCCTGATCTCGGCTATCTTGGTGCCGGCCTTGCCGATGATGCAGCCGATGAGCTCGTTGGGCACGGTCATCTCGTGGGTCTGCGTCTGCGAACCGGCCGCCGGCCGGTTGTTGCTGGTGCGCAGCTGACTGCCTGCCAACGCTGCAAGGGCTGCGAACAGACAAGGAAGAGGGTCGTTAGCACCCAAGAGGGACCAAATCCTTCTTGGTCCGAGGGGGTTTAATTGATTCGGAATAATTTGAATGCTGATTGGACTAATTCAGCTCTCACTCTGACAGTGAAAACACAAACTGAGTGGATTATATTTTGAACATCGATAAAGCGACTGTCTGAAATTTTTAAATCTAGATTTAAACATGAATAATTCCGTTTTTTAATTTAAGTTTGGAGGGGTTGGTACTTTCTTAAGAGGAAAAAGGATGATTTTTTTAAACCAAGAATTTTAATTTTTTTAACTGAATTAGAGGATATCAGTAGTTTTTACTCAACATGAAATGTTTCTCCCTCTCAAATATATGTAAGCAAAGTTTGTGTTGAAACATGTTGGAAAATAAGAAATTGTAAAAAAGTAACCTGCGAAAAAGCTCAAAAATAAATAAAAATAAGAACTACTTCGCACTTTAAGGGGATTGCATTTGCAAAGCAGCACATAAGACCACAATTGATTAGCCACTTGCTGTATGACTTTTTCTGTTCCCTCATTAACGTGAAACTTAATATTTTATCTGTTGAGTAAATTTGCAACTAATTATAACTTACCATTGAAAGTAAAATTCAACATAATTAAATAGGTCACTAATAGAGATATTTTTAGGTAAACAAGCATCCCGTAAAGACATTACTAAGAAATAGTGTGATATCAAATGTGATCTTAATAATATAGTTTATTTATTGATAAAAAAATAAGGTAATTTCTGTTAAAAAAATCAATTAACCTCAAAAGATAATAAATGATATTGATAATTGAAATTAAGGTGTCAATATTGATATTATTGTTAAAATAAATGAAATAGGAATAATCGGTATTTATTTTAAATGTTTAAATTAGAGTTAAAAAAATAGTCATAAGTTTAAATTTTATTAAATATTCACTAATTCTGGGGATATAATATTGAAGGAAAGCAACGATCATTTATCGTGATCATTCAATTGAGTGACAATTCAGATCGGCCCCATTAACGCAAATAGGCATCGACTTTCTGTCAACGAGCTAATTATTGGTTGCAGAAACAGCTTGATGCGATCCCCCTGTGCGCGATACATCACTGAGAAGCGCGATTCAATTTCACCCCTTTCAGTCGGCGGTGCATATTGAGATAGTGGTGTGTAGCGAAGACACGGTCGATATTTTCATTACACAAACCCACCAGTCTAAAAATGGAAGACCAACCATATATATCGACTGCTTCACTTGGCTTTCCGACAGCGAAAATGACCGTGCACGCCTATCCATTTCGCCTGACAAGTGGAGGAAACATAGGGATAGTCCTACAAGCACGGGAATGAGAGAGACAGACGGAACCACCAAAGAACATTTAAGGCTTCTTGGACGTAGCAGTATTACCGCTTCAAAAGGACATTTGAATATACTAATTTTTCACTAAACCAAGGTGAGTAAATAATAATTAAACTTTTCACTTGTTTTTTGTGGAAAATTATTGTCACTGAAGGGTATAAATAATTGTTTCAAATAAAAAATTCTAGGTGGTGTAGGTTTTATTGCCGTTACAATTATTTTATCAAATAATTAACGAAATTGAATTTGAAAAGTATTGAATTTTTCTAGGATAAGTTTTCAAATTTCATCAGATTGTTTTAAAAAGCAGCCATGGAATAAAAATCACAGCTTTTGTCTAGATTTATTTCTGTTCAAGCTGAGGAAATATCGCAGTTTTATTTTATGAAGTTCCCATGATTAATTATAATTAATGAGTGTGTTAGTAAGTAACCTGCAAAATCCATCTTAGTCATTCACCCACTTGATTTTTTGTTTAGATTTCGACAAAAGTTTTTTTTTTCAGTAAATTCAAGAAAAAAATTAATTAAAATAATTATTATTAAAGAAATGGTCAATTAATAGACCATATACCATATTTTTAATTACTCATGAATAATTTTGTAGTCTTTATAGATAAGTATGATGTATTCTCATCTTGTGATTCACCACCAAATTTATTCAGTTTGAAACACTTATGAAATAATAATCAAATTTCAAATTTGATATCGACTGAGAAGAATAAAAATAATTCGACGACATAGATTTTCAGTAGAAATGCATTATTCTATATCATGTATTCTGTTATCTCTGTAAAATAAGGAAAATGAAATATTGTGGAATTGTGAATTCTTCCGTAACAAGAGGCACAAGAAACCATATTTTCTTTTATGCCGTAGGTAATCTCCGTTCTTTACAAATCCGGCAGATATTTCATCTCGGCTACGATGTTAAGTAAGAGACTGGGAGGATTTCTGAAATCCCTCGACGATAGGACCGAAAATCTAAGAGTAATTTAGCGGCACGTGAAGCGAATCGACGGTAAACCGAGCGGACAAAGTGTTTTGCAGTAAGTAAGTGCACGTTGGGCGTAAGTGGCGCCGAGTAAAAGCATCGACCTTTCGACTCGGGCGAGCGACAAAGGCGAGCAAGACAGTAATTTTGTTTTACACAGGAAAGGCATCACGGCGAGGAGTGGCGAATGTTGTCGCCGCCTGTGTTTGACAAGCGATCGACCGAACCGTGGCCGCCGCATTATATTTGCACAAGAGACCAACCACTGTACTGCTGCTGATGACTCGAGGTGGACGCGCGCATTGTCGTTTGATTGTTTCCGCCGCCGACGCACAACAAATAAATTGAGCGTCCGACACAAGAGCAGCAGCAGCAGCGCCAGGGTAAATAAATAAACTTTGGCGCCGCCAAAGATCAACAAACTAAGTCAATCAGCGGATGTAAATCATCAAAAGCGCAATTCCGCTCTCTCGCCGTGCGTATATTTATATCCCCTCCTCAAAAAAGAAGGCGCAAGAAGTTTTGATTGAGCGAATTTTCATAGAAATTGGCCTGCAGCTTCCGAGAGTTTTCCTCATTTTTCCAAGGAAACTTGCTGAGGAGAGAGACGAGCTCGTCTCATCCACTTTTTTCTTCTAAATTTGGAAATCCGAGAGTCGCCTGCTCAAAAATTCCATACTTGACACGCCACCGTGTTAAGGGCGAGGGGTGACCGTACTTAAAGCAGTGCGAAAGGTCCTGTCAGGCTCATTCACCCGTGAATTGCAGTCGTGGAAACGTGCCCTTGCCCTCGTTTAATATGTATGAGGAAAATTGTACAAAAATATTTGGCTAAAACTGCGAAAATACTTTTGATCAAAACAGGATCAATTTGGAAAGCTACGAGTTAATTCTCTAATTTTAAATTTAAGTCATTTGGTCATTGAATTGAAGGAGTTTTTTTTACGAATTAAAATTCATGGTAGCACCATGCAAAATTTTGATGACGTTCATAAACTTATTTGCATAAAAAAATTTTTGGTGATTTTCAATCAGGACGAAAAATTAGGAAAATATCGCTGTTGATAAAATAAGATTCTAGCATTTTGGAAAGAAAATCCAGTCTGAAGATTAATAAAATAGTGAATCTTCAGGCTGAAATTCCAGGAAAACAAGCAAAAATTTAAATTCTTTAGTAATTAATTTTTTCCCAAACCGTTTTGAAAAGCTCCATAAATTAATTTCTACTTCAATTAATGTTAGATTGATAAAATTTTCATGGTTTTTTGTTTGTAAATTCAGACAGTCGCTGGTACTAAATGAACTAATCACTAAATTACGAAAATAAGAAGAAAAATGTATTTACAGTGCTCACCTGCTGGGTTGAGTCCTCCTGCATTATTGCTGAGTCCACCAAGTCCAAGAGCCGCCAGTCCTGCCAACTGTTGGAAATCCGATTTCGGAATGTTTAGTTTCGCCCTCGATCGAAAGCAAATCGAGGCCCCCTTAGGAAGGAGGGAAGGGGGCCTCCAGGGCCACTGCCTCAGGCCTTTGCCGCCTGCCCGCGGGTGGAGGATTCAGAAGGGCGCGTCAGTAAGGGACATGCCGGGGATAATGTGTGTATGTGTGACGAGAAGAAGAAGAAGAAAGAGTGAAAACCGAGAGAGAGAGTCGCGGCCTGTCGGCCACTGTGGGTTTATTGATTGCTGCGAATTTCGGGGGCGAGTAATTGGCAATTTCGCGCCTCGCCCCGATATAACTTTTAATGGCGCGATTTATGATTGGGACGTGCGCGCTGCAGGTGCGAGGCGTTCTAGGAGGAAATGAAACTGCTTTCCAATCTCTCTCTGATTTCGCGTTTCGCAATTTGCAGGGGCGCGAGAGAGCCGCGACCTCGGTGCATCTGGAGGGAAACAATTTGCAAGGGTGGAAAATTGCAGCAGCATATTAAGGGGGTGGGTTGGGAGGGAGCATGCAATCGCGGAAGTCAAGGACAATAATTGCTTTGATGTGCCACCAGGGCGGTTTTCAGAGAAGCTCTGGAGACGAAAAGTTTTGCGCGTCTTCTTTGATTGTGCTCGAGAAGAAACAAGAGCCAACAAAAGATGGTCGCGCGCGTCTCCAGAGTCGTGTAATTTAGCATCTGTGGTTGCATGAGGATATATTGTTGGAGGTGCAGAGTGGGATCAGCAATTTGCTCTTGTTGTGTTCCTCTCAAGAGTCAAAGCTCACGCGCGCGAGTGTTGCTGCTAATCCCACATGCACGCACCAAAAGCCTAAAATACCACAAGGATTTCGACGTACTTTTAGACGAACAAATAATATAATGAGGTGCTATTGAAAATGCAAAACAAAAAAGAAATTATAGCAGGGAGGGGTTATTAGTGTCGATTTCTAAATCACCATGCATGATTTTCAAAATAGGAAAAACAATACTGGTAAAATTTAATAATTGAAACAAGCTATGTGATATCCAGAGAAAGCATAATTTTTAATTTTACATTAACTGCGAATCAAAAGAAGATTTTAACAAACAGCTAAGCTTCAGCCAAAGAACTTTTAAATAAAAATATGTAAAAATATTAAAGGATTTTCTCTTAAGCCAAGACCTGAGTCACCTGGGTACTTCTTATATGATCTAAATTTGTCGTTTATAAATATTAACCCCCATCCCCAGTTTCCAAACAAATAGTTGTAAATTTAAACATTACTAATCAAAAAAGTGTGGAATATGTGAACTGGATTTGACCATACATGTAATTACCTTGAGCCACACTAAATAAATAAATTATCTTTTTTTAACTGTGACAAACATAAATTGATATTTAAGAATTGAATATTCTCTTTTAGTTTATTACAACAATTTGAATGAGACATTTAATAAATTTTTATTTTAGAAATTAAATTTAATAGATGTAAATATGTATATTCATTTCAATAAAGCAATGAAAAATAAAAGCAGTAATAATAATTAATTTTTAATATTAACAATAACTTAAATAAAAATGCTTTTGATCCTCGCTCATTGATGATTTGAATTTAAAGTCGACTTTTCCTCGATGGGTTTTTTTGAGTTGTTTATTTTAACAAAAACAATATATCCTGCTCTACATGTTTCGGCTGCGGGCTGCAGCCATTATTCATGAGCTGTGGAATCATTCTGACAAGAATTAGTACACAATTTTTAATATTCTGACCAAAATTACTATAAAATTAATTTCTTAATACAATTGTCAAATTTTGTGTTAAAAATTGTTTGGTGTAAAAATGTAAGAAAGTAATTTTTCACAAAAAAATTTTACTTTGAATAGATTTTTCTTTTTTTAATTTTGATTTGTGTACTAATTCTTGTCAAAACGATATCGCAGCTCATGAATTATGGCTGCAGCCCGCAGCCAAAACATGTGGAGATGGATATTGTTTTTCTTAAACAATAAATAGCTAACAAAAACCATCTAGGAAAAGCTGTCTTTAAATTCAAATCAACCCTCGATCGTGAAATTCTACTGCAAAATTTAGTAAGCTTATTTTAGTTTATTTTATATACTACAATAAATACCGATTAAAAAAAGAGGCCATTTTTTCTCAACCTATCTCAACCTAGGATTAATTTAATTTAAAATACCTAATTTTTCTTTCTTTGAAGACTCAATGATTATGCTAGCAAAAAAGGAAAAAAGAAACTAAATTCGAAGCAAACAAAATTAACACGGCAAGCGCAATTCAGGGTAAAAAGGTTCTGAGGTCATGGCAGACTAGTATTAATAAAAAAAAAACGGCAGTTGGCAGGCCTGAAAAGAGGTGAAGGGTGCCAACTGAGAAAGGGTGTCGAGCATTGGTGAAAGGGTAGTTGTGTGAAGTGCGCCGGGGGTTAGAAAGAGAGGGGTGTGGGGACGGCAAGCGGGAGCAGTCCGGGGGGCGACGACGACTTACGTCGGCTAGGTGGGCCATGGCTGCAAAGTGTCCGTTCTTCATCGAGTCCATGAGGGGCTGCTGCGCGGCGGCGGCCAGCGCCAGGTGATGATGGTGAGCGTGATGCGGGGGAGGGGCGGGAAGGACAGGAGGCGCCGTGGAGGCAGGGGCCGGAATCAAACCCAGGGCGTGTGCTGTGGCGTGGGCGTGGGGGTGTAAGGCTGAGGCAGGGGGTGGGGGCGCACCACCCCCCGCGGCGGGCGGCAAAGGCGGCGGTTGGAACTGCAGAGACGGTGGCAAGGCACTTTGGCTACTTACGTCTGGATGCGCGGGCACTGCGTAATTGCCCTGGATCGTGTACGCCTGCCCGCCGGCCAGGATCACGGGGCCTGCCACCTGGGGCTTGGGGCGGTAGGGGATCGTGGCACCTTTGGGTGGGGACTGCAACACAAAACGCACTAGTTAGTTAGAATCGGCATTGTTAATGCAAAATTATCTTTTCGGGGGTTTATTTAAATAATTGGCCAAATTTGAACTTGATTTAGACACACTTTTCCCAAAAACGGCATTTCTTGAGTTGTCGGGAATAGAAAAAACTTAAAATAAGAAACCAGAATTTACAAACCGTAAATATTAGAAACTGGAAATAACATTGTTTTAAATTCTGTATTGTTCTGTTTTGAAAAAAAAAAACAGCAAATTTATCACCAAAAAATTAAATCAATATAAAAATGGAATTCTTTGTGAAATATAATTGAATTGGTAAAAAATATTGAAATAACAAGAAGAATAAAAATTTCAATACAAAATAAACAAAGCTGTAATTTTTTTGTTTACATAAACAAAAAATGGCTTACATTTAGAAAAACTAAACACTTGCTCTCCCCATCAGAATTAAAAATACTAGATAAAATGAGTTACTTAATATAGAATAAAATTGTAGGATTTGCTTTCCATTTCATTTTTTAAAAATGCATTGCTACTATATTTTGAAAAAGAGCCAGATTCAGAAAGAAAATTAAGAGAGGCAATAAATTACAACCTAAAACCGTCAAAAGTTTTGCCTTTAATTTATGAGCACCATTTTTATTCATCATTGTAAACTATTGGCTCACAACCTTGGTGGCGTTAAAAATTACCAACATGCTGCAAGCGGAGCAAAACACGCTGTTATTCGAGCCCAGAAAATCCACTACTCCCCAGCCTCTGCAAATATTTATCATCCGGCATGCAAACGTCGTAAACACGATTCCGCGGAGAGCGGTTCGGTAGAATCTCTCATAAAATAATGCCGTTCAAACCAGCCGCGGACATATGCAAAGTTCCGAGAGTGGTGGCGTTTTACGTACAACCGGGAATTCATTTCAATTGATTTATCTGCCCGGAAAGAAATTTTTATACTCATTCGTCATGATTCAAGTTAGTCTTTACACGGGACGTCCCCCTCTGGAGGCCGCAACTTGTTGAACGTTTTTTTTCTCCGATAAGAAATAAAAACTAATGTCGAAAATTTGGTGCTGATAAAATCGAAAGCAAGTTTCATCGGCTTTAAGTGCTGAATTATTCAGCCGCCTTTCGGGCTCTGGGGAGACGGGCCAAATTTAACAGATTCACGCCGCGTGGCGCCCGCTGGGGATCAATGGGTGGAGGTGAGGGTAGACGTGGTACCTCAAGCATCACACAGCAAATGTGGTAGATGCACTGGGTGATGGCGTCACTGGTGCCCGAAATGGTCACAGCCCGTTCAGTCGAGTTGGGCAGCATTTCGCTGGCCACCTGGATGCTGGCGCCGGTCACCTCGCGGATCTCCTTGATCTTGGAGCCGCCCTTGCCGATGAGCGAGCCGCACTGCGAGGCCGGCACGATGAGCCGCAGCGTGATTGGTGGCCGGGGGATTCCTCCAGCGGAAGACCCGTCCTGGAATGCTGCTGACGACTGCGAAAATAGACAGACAAAGCCAAAGTGAGCGAGGAATATAAAAAAAAGAAGCAGTTTGGCCGGCACGCCGAGTTTACGAGTTTATTTTCAAAGTCTTCGGCGTCTGGAGTGGGTGTTAATGGAATGTCCTGACCACATATTTAAAAGAGGAATATTGTTTGCGATTTGATTGATTACTAAATTGATTGAATTAAAAACACTGCCAATTCGAAGACCTAAATAATAGTAAGAAGAAATTAGTTGAAAGTGATAAGTGAATTAAATTAATTTTAAATTGGATTTTATTAGATTTTTTGGAGAATTAATTTTGTTGAATTTTAGAGCTTTAATTAAATTGGAAATTATTAATATTAATCGTCTCAATTTTCAGCTCACAAAAGAAAATTAAATAATTTTGATAATAAAATATTTTAGTTTTTCAAGTGTTTTTATTTTAAATAAAAAATTACTTTGCAATAAATCTTGAAAAAATATCATTGAACATTAAAAGTTCTCAAAAACAACAATTAAAATGTTAACGCTTGTTCCGTGGCAGTAAAAAGAAATTTGATCATTTCATATTTTCATTCCCTGACTAATGGTGGGTCAAATTTGATGAATGTTGAGACATTCGAGTAAAATTAATTTCAAAACGCGTGCGTCTCTGGTGACGAATTATTATTTTAAATGGCCTGCAAGGTAAGCTCCTCGCCTTCTTGGCGCCGCTCCAGATGTTTAATGTTCTCAGACGATTTCTCTCGCTCCCTCGCTCTCTCTCATAAAAAGTAACAAATTGATTTTTCAAAGCGGCTCCATTTCACACCGATTGTATAACAACGTGTGTTCCCTTCCAACCAACATTATTTGTATTTAACTCACCTCTTCAAATTTGCGGCAGATGAGGCTGAAGGCCTTGAGGATTGTGGAGGTGGGGCCGCTGACGGTGACAATTCGCTCCGGGCACGAGCCATCGGAAATGTTGATTTTGGCTCCGGACTGCGAGATAAGGCAGAATTAGTCGTACAACATCTGATAACTGCGGGTGGCTATTTTTGAAAATTAGGGAAAATCCAGCTCGGCGCCGAGACGCTGCCGGCTCGTGAAAGGGGCAAGTGGAGGAGAAGATCAAGTGAATATTTGGGGCGAAAAATGCGGGCAAATTCAGCTTGACTGGATCATCGTAAAAAAGGATTTGTCTGTTTTTTTTTTGTTTTTTAATAAAGTAAAATAAAATTTTTCAAGGCATGAACAACAATGATGTAAAATCTGAACCTATTCCTTTATTGTAATTTATTTTTAAATTATTTAATATTATAATAAAATATATATAATATTTTTTTTTCATTAAAACTGATTTTACTTCAAATAAAATTTTTGTAAAAATATTTTCCAATATTTAATTTAATAATCTCCCAAAAAAATTAACTTTATAGCCAAGTAATCAAATAAATTTGAAATAATCTCGTCAACACTTTCACTATAAAAACTTAGAATAAACAATCATTCTAAATTTTGACAGGTCATAACATATAATTCTAATGGCTTTGGTGTTCATTAAAAAAGTAATCAAAATTTCCAATGTAATAGTGTCTAATAACTCACCTCTTCTCTAAAGCGTTTGACTATTTCGCCCTTCTTGCCGATGATGCTTCCAACTTCCTGCAACACACAAAGGAAAAATTATTATTGCAAGTGATGGAACGATTCGTCGCCGAGAGTGCGGGGCTGAGACCTTTTAATTTCCTGTCGCGCCCCGATCGAACTCACGTTCGCGTTTTTTTTTTTGTCTCTCGCCTCGCAAAATCCACTCCTCCCCTTGCTCGAACAGAAAACCCCTTACTTAGGCGGTGCATTTTTAAATTTGAATTTCACCAGGCGACCCGTGAAAGTGCCAGAAAGAAGCTGACAAGGCGGTAAGCGAGAGGATCAGAGGCAGAAATTGGTTCTGGCGCCCTCACCGATGGAGGAACTTTTATTTTTCTACACTTTATCAATTTCTAGACAACTTACAATTATGTACTTTTTTTTCAGTAATTTCCAACTGTTAAAATTTTAATCAATAAATATTATATAACAGAGGAACCATACTAGCCACAGGGAAAACGATACGAAAGTTTCAGATTTAATATATTAAATAATAAACTTTGCTCTAGTAAATTTATTTATATGTAAAATTTACATCTTTTGTAATTTATTTTAAACATCATACTGAATTTAATTTTTATTAATATTAATTTGATTTAATTTAAATAAAATTAAAAAAATTTAAAATTGAACAAAATAAAGTTAAAATTAAAACACAAAAATAATCATTTAATATGAAGTAATTATGTTTTGCTAATTAAATTTTTTAATACTTTTATTTTATTTCTCAACTATTTAATTTAAATTCGTTCTAATGAAAGTTTTAATTTCACCAATCTCACATTAAAAAATTGACCCCTTTCATGTATATTCTGTTATTTTTGTCCGGTGATAATTTTTTGCTACATTTTTGTGTGCAAATAACTATAATTTTTATGTGTTCAGAGTTCAGATGTTCAAATAATGGAGAGAAAATGACTAAACTAATCTTTCTGAGAAACTCATAAAGCTGTTCAAATTAAATTGCAATCAGAGCGACGTTTAATATCTGCTAAGTGCGGAGTAGGTACAAAAAAATCGGAGGCAAAAAGGAGCCGTTCTCGGGGTTGGTCTCGGTGGGCGGCAACTAATTCCGAATTCGCTTCTCTGGAGGATAAAAGTGCGTGCGGCAGGCCATTCCGGTGCGTGCACAAGTGGTTTCGGCAAATCTGAAGGCGCGCGCGTGAATAATGCAGTCGGGATAATTAAACGGGCAGAACGATCGCGTGGTTTGTCGGGCGCCGGATTTGCGTTGTTTTGCGTCGAGAGGATCCCCTTTAACGGCTCGCTTAACAAATTGGCTTGTCTTTTGGCGCACGTGATCTCTCTGCCAAGCAGAGTCGAGCACTCCGCCAAATTGAGTCGCAGCAGCGACAAAGAACCATCTCTCGCTCACTCGCTCGCGCGCGCCGCATTTAAATATTAATGCACCGCCCTCGGACACGTACGAGACGAGGGAGATTGAAAGCAATGCCGGAGAGCAGCGGATTCAACCTTGACTGCGATTATTATTTTCCGGCTCTGACATTCGGGATGAGGGACTCGCAGAGAGAAAGAGAGGGTTGCCCCCGGCCCCGCACACATTTCTCTGGGATTAGTGCCATGCTTTATGAGGGTTTGTGCAATTTTTTGTGTTACTGCGCGCAAGAAAAATTACAACAGTAATCAAAAATCCGAGGAATGTCTTCTTTTTACCTTTTACCTCAGGAAGAAATATTTTTCATTGCAGAGCTTTGAATTTATTTCAAGATTTTCCTGTATTGAATTAAAAACACTAAACATTTTTACCCTTATTAAGTTTTATAATGTAAATTTACTGCAATTTCCAAAATTCCCTAATATTTTGGTTTCTATTTGGTAGAATTTTAACAGCGTTTGATAAATTTTTTTAAATAAATTCCTGATAAATTTAAATAACAATTGAATGCTCACCAAAAATATCAATTTAGCGGAATGGTTTTGCTGTATATTTTGTTTTGAACCCAATTATATTTTGTTTTCTTTAAATCCGGAACATCCTCTGAAAGGTAAAGGAAATGCAAAAGAGCTTATGTTCGCAGTCTACAACCCAATTTCACGAGAAAGAAAACAAATACAAAAATCAGAAAAATTAAAAAATATTTATTTTTTGACATTTGTATCCTCATTCTTTTTTTTTAATTTTGATGTTTTTTTTTTTTAATTTCGCTGATTTTGTTCCTGTTTTCCCTCCTCATGAAATAGCCCAAGTCACTGGTAGAGCCGTTAAAATAAAGTAAAAACATTTCCAGCGACGAAAAAGCTCCTGTTTTTCACTTTCAGCTTTTATTTATTTCTTGTCCTCTTCACCAAAGCTAAAATTTCAAAACTTGCAGACGGCACGATGCCGCAGTTTCATTGCTCTGATGATATTTCGCTTGAATAGCAAATTTCGGTACATGTATAAGGTTTTGAGCATTAAAATTTCACAGGCAATTGAATTGATCAAAAGCGATTCGCCTCGAGCGCGAATCTTTTGAGCGTTTTTTACTCATTTTCGGCGGCTGCACTGCGGTGAAAACACGAGAGCACGGCTCGATTGGTGCAGGGAATGAGTGCGCTGGCTCGAGACTTTTCCGAATTAGAGCGGATTAAAAAATGTCTTTGCACGTCTCGTTAATTCGCCGCCATTCAGGCAGGTCGCCCAGCCTGGCAGGTGCAGCTTTTTCAAAACGGCACTCCAGGTTTCGGTGCGCGCCGCTTGCGCTCCAATTTGCAGACACGCCTCGTTAGAGGCCAATGTTGTACACTCTGTGTATATGTACATATGTGTGCTCTTAGTCCCGGGGGCCAAGGGCAAACCGCCACCGGAAAAGAGAAGGAATGCCGCCGCAGAATCGGCCGAAAGGGCGGAAAAACTTAAATAATATGTCGGAAAGACAAATTTAGGCACAGGAAAAAGGTTAAAAGTTCAATGGTGACAGTAATTACTATTTTATTTAAAAAAAGAAATGCTAAATAAAATGTTGAATGGGGGTTTTTTTTTTAATGGAGTATATTACTAAAAAAATGCAAATTTTATTTTGTTTCTCCCTAATAATATATTTAAATTAATTCTGATTTTGAAGATTGATGAAGTAACTTATAGTTGTTTTTAAAATTTAAATGAAGATAACAATAAAATATGTAATAAAAATAAATTCTTTACAATGTGGAAAAGGAATTTTGGTATCTTAAAGTTTGCTCGACGTGATTTTCCACGAATTTTCTGAATATTCAGCTTGGTGAAAGAAATCGAGCAACTTTTTAAACAATGAAAATTAACAAAATTTCTGTTTTCACAGATTATTTACAAAATTGAAAGCACAGGGAAATCAATGTCTGAGAATGATACATTTTTTGAAATGATCACAAATAAAAACAAACCACGGGCTCAAAAAAAGGATGACCACAAATGGTGACCTCCAGTCTGCTAGTACATTAAAACTATCTCATTAATTTTTGTCTTATCAACGAGGATAGAATAGAATAGAATAGGTTTTTTATTTAATTAAATTCTCAAAGCATTGACAGTGTAAGCCCTACATTGATTTTTCACTATGAATGCTAATTTTCTATTTTATCAATAAATTAATATTATATAACAATCATACATATTTTTATAATAAATATACGTGCGTCAGAGTTTAAAATTGAAATTAATTTGTTTCGTTTAATTGACTTCCATTGTGGAATAGTAATATATAATTATATTTATAGGTTTTGCTTAAAAATTAAATCAAATATATTAATAATTTATTGCATGTTTCAAATGTTTAAAATTGCGATCGGATATATATTCATAAAATCAAAATAAATATTATAAATAATTTTATCACGAAAAATAATTAAATACTCCATTTTAATTTTATCATTTTTAATTAAAATTAAAATAAGTTGTTAAATAAATATTAAATAAAATTTGTCGTTTCCCTGCTGGCGACAAAAGAGTCGCCTGGTGACACTTCAGCTCGAGTACAGCATTCCCGAAATAATAACGATAATAATTTTTATTAAAACGCGCGCTACCATTTGTCTAATTATTTACACGGCGCCGACGCTCGCTTGCTCGTTCGCGAGAGCGTGTTCATTTTTGCCGAGCCGCTTTTGTCGGCGTTTGAGGCGCAATCAGCGATATGGCTGCGGCCGCCTGAGTAATTTCCATGCAGCAGCCATTCAAGCTCGCACGCCGGCAGCCAAGACAATGGCCCCGAGTGTATATGTATCTCGCTGGTATACAAACACGCAGCACACCACCAGCATTTCCTGACAGTCGATCTGTCTGCGCTGCTGAGAAACAAAAAACGCGGCCGCTGACAACAGCGACTCTCCGCCGTGAAACGTTATCCGCCTTGTAAATTTTCACTCGGCTGCAATTATGACGCGTTTTAAGATGCTATCTGCGCGCGTTTGTCACGATTTTCCCGCACGTCTCCGCAGCATCCACTAAAGCTGCAGCACGAGATTTACAGCCGCGACACTCCATTAGCTTAACTTGCTTTTAAATTAATTAAATACGTTAAATACTAGCAACTGCAAAATGAGAAATAAAATGCTTGCGCATTTATTTAGAGGATCTTTTAAAAATAAAATTTTTGCTGACGTTGCTTGCAGTAAATTAGAAGAGTGATTTTTTTTAACTTGCGTGTATTTATCAAGAAACAGAATTAATATCTTCATAAAAACTTCATCTTTCAAAATGAGAACACAATAATAATGAGTTTTTTCCATTCTGCCATTATATTTGAATTTAAAATTTGCAGTTTTCTAATATTTTGAGTGTTAATTTTTGATTTCACCTCTACTCTCTACTTTAATCTAGGAGCAGAACTGAATACAACTTGTGTAAGTTGATTTAATTTGGGAGATTTCCTGAATTTTAAAGTTAGAAATTAGTGGAGTTTCTAATTAGAATTCGATAAATCGCAATATATGAATTTGAAGGGAATAAATTCAGAATTTAAAACTCTTAAAATACGCAGATTATTTTTTACTTTTATTTAATACAAAAAATCATTTTCTGAGCAATTTCAAATTAA